ATCTTAGTACTCAAGAATTAATTAATTCACTTATCATCCTTAATATTAAGTAGTAGAATCATTCATGTAGATGAACGAGTAAATATGACTTGGTCAATCACTCTATGGTGATACTTGATTGTGGCCACCTTGTATTATTCTGGCTGTAATAACAGTTTCTTCCAAACGAAGAAACGTTAATGGAAGGCTAATCCAATATCATTAACGAGAATTTAACAGAATAGTACATTATTGATAGTATTCTTCTAGTTTTACCTTGTACGATGATAATAAAATACAGAGTACAATAATAAATCGGTAATCTTTAATTTTAAATCAAAGAATTAACGATATGACCACTCACTGACTAGATTGAGTGAAAATAGGATAGTAGCACGGATGCTACATTCAATATGGTAAATAAAAATGATCAATAAGGGTACAAATATGAAATTCTGATTGAGCTGAGCTTTAATGTCTTTTCATAATTGCCATCAATTTATCATCCAACATAAATTGTAGTCTTTAAAATTGGATCATTTCCAATTTAAAATCATCAACAATATCGAATGGCTTAATTATTTTCCTCGCCATTCCATCGCCTAGTTAAACTATTATTATTCCATTACGGATTGTTCAAATGATAATGAAAAGCAAATTAGTAAAAATTTTTTAATCACTAAGTTAGTGGAACCATGATGGAATTAACTTTGTTCTTTGCGTTCAATCTAATCTTCAGCTTTTTGGTCACCAAATTCCACAGCGTTTGAATTTCTTTTTATAACGCAGTTCAACATAGCACGCATCGCATTTCTATCCGTAAAAGATTGTATAACTCAGATTAAGAGTTCGAGGTCGCGAACCTATAGTAATAGTAAAAGACTATTACTCGGTCATTACACTCGTAAAATGGAAAGGTGAATATTTTGGGTATTAAATGTAGGTAATCAGTCTGAATGATGAGTACGAGCATACTGGTAGTAATAGATCATCCGCCAAGAAAGAGTACTGTAACATTAATTATAATTACTTGCACTGAAATTTTAAATTCAAACAAATTATATAGAACTTATACCGTATGCCTCGATGTCCATAGGTACAAATAGTCTACTATTGCTACTTCGTGCTAATTGATACCTATATTATATCATCGGCATATGCTCTCATATCATTAAAATAGGTTTCGTATAGATCTACTGTAACTCTAAGATTATGCATTAACCCATATATCTTACAACATGGTAAAACGTAAAAATTACCCTCATTTCTAGCGTAATTAGAATATTTTCTATTTATAAACACTGTAGAATACATAAGCTTGTCTTAAACCCTGATGATAAGCTATCTACTACAGTATATATCAATCAATACAACAAATTTATACGTAGCTATCTAATACTATCACAGAAATGCATTAATTTTAATAAAAATGAAAGATTTTTATTTGATTCAGTCATGGCATTGCTTGAGTAATTGTTGATTGAACAATGATTTTATTTTCTACTTATAAACACTGTAAATTCATAAGCTGGTCTATAATCCCAATGATAAACTATCTATTATATAATAATCAATACAATAAATCCCTACTTCATGGCGATCTAACATTGTGAAAGCAGTACATTAATTCAATTAAAAATGGAAATTTCTGTTTAATTCAATCCTGGTATTGCTTGACCATTTTCTTAATTGAATAATAAATCCTTAACTATGAATTTATCGTAAGCAGGATATCTAAAGCAAATATATGAGTTAACGTAATTAATTCTTGCTCTTAACAAATGCAATTTCATCATCTGCTGATATTGTCGACTAATTTATAATAAAAATTATATAAAAAGAATTATACAATTTATTTCGATGTATTTACGATATTACATTTCTATTAGAGAATAAAGTTTTTCTGGAATAGGTTCATGATTTTCCGTATATTATGGCTACTTTTTTCTGTATCAATACCTATCAAATAACGAATACAATCGATACAAATCCATTACTTTATACTTTTGCACGTATAAAGCGTCAATATAAATCAACTTTTCATTTAACTCTTAATCTTTAAGCTACGTCTAATATCTAAATTTCATATTAACATTATAAAATGCTAAATTTTTTAACCGTAAACAGCTCAGTTGTTAATAGAATAAATAGCGACTAGAAATTCTACATACCTGTATATTGACATTCCACCTCATACCAGTACTAACTTTACCCCATCATGCCCAACAATTTTTTCATTTTTGGTACTACTTTACCGCATATTTTCCTTAATGCCTGGTAGTTTTCTATCTTCTGCTAGGATTGAATTAAAAATAACTTCATGTTAATTTTTGATGATGATATAATCACGTATTATTTCCTTCTTAGTAAGTAATTTCTATATCTTTCCAGCATTCATAAAAATACTCCCATTAGTAAAGCTGGAAAATAATGTCTTTAAATAATTTATTCGCAATTAATAAATTAGATCATACTATCGGATCTTCCTACTGTATTTCCGGGTAAGATTCTGCTCGTTAGGCCATTCCTACTTATTTTCTGGTACTAATTTTAAAATTTCATCAGCTTTATTTTATGTTAAATTAAGAGGGTCAAGAAAAATAATCCCATTAAATATACGAGTAATATAAATCATTAATTGCTTAGGTTAATTACTTTAATCATCACTGAGACCACAACATCGGTACTTCGATCAGTTATGGATTTATAAATTTGTTAGAGGGTCGAATTTTAGCGAAGCACCGACAACTAAAATTAATTATAAATCTAATCGAGCCCCATAAATGTGACCTTTTAGTCTAATATGAACATTTTTCTACGTATCTAGAGTCATGCCAAGAATACCAATGGCTAAATCGAACCGATCAATCAAGTGTGAATCTAATTTCAGACGTAAAGTGTGACGTGGCGTTAACTGTTAACTATGAAATTACAAATAGATATTAACGAATGTAAAGTTTCTAATGGTGGCTGTCTAGATCGATGTATTAATACACCTGGAAGCTATCACTACCAATGTTTCAAAGGCTTTATAGTTGCCATGGACGGACATCAATGCATAGGTGCATTAATATTTTACGAATGTCTTAATTTTTACCTACTGTAGCAGGGAAAAATGATAACATTAGCTACCCTACAACTGTAGGTACATGCTACTGTTTCTTTTTTGTTCCGTTTGTTACCGCTTGCTAAGAATATAATATTTTCCGTAGATACTAAAAGATTTCGGTAATTTAAATTCTTGTCAGACGTTTCAACTAAAGTTTAAAAGTAGGCGTGAAAGTACTGCTTAAATTATAATAGCCTTCTTCAAAAGTGCACGATTATGCAGTATTGATTTGATAATTTGGTGATAGGAATTAGTTGTAGCATTAAATGAGATACAATTACCTTCTTGTGTAAGCGTAAAGCTGCACTCGTATATATTTTATGCAAACTAATAGACCTTAGTTCTCTAGTATAATAACGGTAATTGCGATATATTGAAGCATTGACTATTATATAAATATGGATCCTAACATCATGCACCTAAATTAATTGGTTTTCGGCTAGCCCATTAATCACTATTCCATTTCGTACTGAGGATACTTAGTAAAAATCTTCTGCAGGGATTAACTTTGCTTATTCTCCAGATACAAGAAAAATATCAAATTGATATGACCATTTCGATAACATATCTATGCAATTAATTTGCGATTATTATTTGTATGTGTACCATATAAAATTGAGGCATTTACGAAATAATGCTGCACTTTGCAATTTAAAACCTTGCCGACAATATAAAATCATTGCTGATGATTCAAGACTAGCATCGCTAACTCCTGGCAATCAACTGGGCCCATTAAAGTGTGATAAAAACATTACTCGGTCGGAATGTTAGGGTTAGAAAAATAAAGAGTAAAGGAGAAGGCATGGTGCTTCCAACAGTATGTATTCCAATGCTAAAATGTCATACGCTGTCTAGTGGATAGATGAATGGCAAGCATCCTACAGGTTTGATGATTATAAAGGAAATGCAAAAAATTTATTTCGTATTTATATGGAAACAAATTATATAATGAAAACATAGTAAGATAGATATTAATAAGAATTTACTAGCTAATATCAATTTAGGAGCTCATAAAAGGAAGCTAATGTCCTTTCGCTATCTCTTATCCTCTAAATTTCATGACAGTTGAAGAAGGAGTAGTCACCAAAAAGTCTTGTTTTAGCTATTTCAGCAATTGCTGCTATACATCGGCTCTCGTCAGAGTCAAGTAGTATAATCGATATTTTTTCTATCAACTGGCATCGAATATATCATGCAATCCTCAAACAAGATATTGTACCAGTGATTTAAGTAAGTTTCCTGGATCTTGATAAGATGCTGTATAGTATGTAATGCTAAGGAAGTAGGAATTTTTTGTGAAAAATTTATAAATATTTTACTATTTTTTCATCTACAGATGAACCATTTGGAAATTTAAAATTAAAAACCTCGTAACAAAATTATGTACCCAAAATAAACCAGTACATGAAGTTTTACAGGCTGAAAATTAATCAGCAACGGTAAAAACTATACGAATCAAGGCATGTGGTTATTACTCACCATTACCCGTATTTAGACAACCTTCGGCCACGAAATTGTACTGGCAAACTATAATTAGCTCGCTAATAGTAACAACTAAGCAATCTAGTGACCGATTATTGCTTCTGTAAACATCTTCTTTTATCAACTTAAATTTTATAGGAATTAAAACTTTTGCTTAAAAGCTCCTTTGCAACAGCAATGCCCTAGAGCAACCAAGTTTTGTTACCTAATATGTCATTTCATAAATTAATGTAGGTTGATAGTCCAATTACACCGTGGATACTTTAGTATTAATTCGATACTAATGACATTTAGGACGTCTGGTACTACCGATTTCAACTTTATCCACACACATTTACCAAATAATTTGGTATTCCGGTAGCTATAGCAAACTTCCAAAATACCATAAAACTAACTAGACCATCAGGCAGGTATGCATATGATAACAAGAATATGTATGTGATGCATACTCTAATTCAAGCATTATTGCAACGCTATTTCACAACTGAGTATCCGGTAATAAGTCAAATTACTGTTGAAATTGTATAGCGGTATCCCCCAAAAACAGAGTGCAAAGATATCTTCTAAAGAGATGAGACGAAATCAATCGTGTAACGAATATCACCTAACTTATTCTATAGGTAGATGTCATCTTAACCCTTGCATTAATGGCAAATGCGTTATTCGTAGCTCTGGATCATTTTATTGTCAATGCCAGTATGGCTTACCGAAAAATCATGCGATACAGGTATAATAGCCATGAAATTAACCTCATACAGTTACCTCATCAAACTCATTTTTATCTTGCTACTATCGATTTCTTCGTATAGAATATTAAATATGTTATAGTGTAATTCTTGCAATGTTGCATGCACAATCTACCAAACTTTACAATTTTAATTACAAAATCGATATGATGATAGAACTATACAGAATATATGTCTATCTTACTGTGTCCGGATATCAGTAAATTTCGGCTAAGATTTTGAATCATAAATGATATTAAAAAGTAGTAAGACTCGATGTATAGAATTAATTTCGATCTTGCATCCTTTTAGCAATTAATTAATGTTTTTCGAATCCATGTTATAAGGGACGGTGTATTGACCATAAAAATAAATATGTATGTCTGTAGTCAAGGAATGACGGGTACAAATTGCGATCAAGGTAAGAATAAAAGTGGCGATGAAGAATTGCTATAGTATCAAACTCTACCTTAATCCGTAGCTCCTTTCTTTCATTTTAATTATTTAGTTATGATAATATATACAGTAGTAATACTATTTTATAACTATAGCAGTAGAAATAATATACTAATAAATATGCCCCATTGTACACTACGTCTTACAAAACCAATAAACTTTCTATATACTGTCATCGAAAGCGCGAAGTATTACAGAACCTAACTTTTACTTAGATATTCAACTATTAACATTGTTTTATTGTACTTATAGCGATTTAAAATCTACTCCCCAACTCTCTTTCTATCACAGATATTAATGAGTGCTTAAGCAACAACGGTGGTTGCATCCATTTTTGCAACAATACCTATTCTAGTTACTTCTGTTCATGTCCAAATAATCAGCTTATTGGCATAAATGGCCGCACATGCGATGGTATGATCTGAAGTATTTTATACTATTATACTTGTAGTTGCTAACTATCAGACACGGCATCTAGCTTTAAAGATAATCATAACTTAACAACAAATATGCATTTGTATTATGCTTCAAACGATATCATTCGATTATAATTACAGAGCCTTGTTTAGCAAGCTCTGTTCCACTCAACGATACCGCAGCGCAAATGAAAAGCCCAACTATTTTTCAAGTAGCAACGGTGACCAACCAATGTCAACTAGCTTACAGCAATTCTCTAGATACCTCGAAATATAGGTATCGATCCAAAGCAAACAATAACTGCATTGCTATAGCAAAGAGTTTATCTAATTTAAAAAGTATACTAATTTTAACGCGATTCTCACTTTCAAATAATGTAGAGCAAGGTAACAAATCATTAGTCTATCTAAAGAGCACATACTACGAATTAGTATTCGTATTATTAGTCTCTCTAGTATGTATTAGAAAAGCCTCTGTACTAATTGATATCGTAGGTTTATGCATTTATTCAGACTCTGTCTTACAGTTAGAACCTTTATTTTAATTACAAATATTTAGTGATATTTATCTAAAATGAAACATAAGGAGAGATATTTATATAGTAAAAAACATTAAACTAATTTTTTCATCTAATGTCTATTGTTGCTAATAGTAAACTCTAGTGAATCTGTCGAAATAATTGATATATGTTATCATTTTGGCCTTCAATTATGCTCAAAATGATATATGTTATCATTTTGGCCTTCAATCATGCTCAAAAAAGTTGCCCGTCCAAATCAAGACCTGTTCAGGCTATTATGTTTATAAAATCGATAGCCTAGCAGCATGTTACTTAAACTTTTGCAGCAAAATTGTAGGTAATCTATATTTAATCTCTCATAACTAGCAAATGAAATTGAATATTGTTCTCATATATTTTAGTGAAAGTAATATAATTATATAATAATCTGCCAAACTCTATATTGCAATAATTTTAATACCTCAATTCTCTTTCTTTTGACACCAGAACCTAATGCCCTTCCCAGTAAGTTCAATATTCAGTCAACCTAGCCATAAATTGCTTCGATAAACTAAAACTTACATATTGATGTAGTAGGGATATCTTTTTATTTTCATATTCACTTCGCTAGTTGATTTATATATATATATATATATAATTGCACTAATTTTATCGCTTAGTTGTGCTTGCGAAACCGTTACCTGTGAGTGGATCGTAAACGGTGCATGCGATGGAAGAAACTGCACTAACTGGAAAAGATGGAAAGGACCAATACCAACCGGTGGAACTGGTCCTAGAGCTGATCACACCCGTGGAAACTCTTCAGGTACCCCTAATTAAGTCAATAAAAATGGCATTTCGCTCTAATCAATGTTGCTCAATAAGTGGAAAACAAGAGCGTTGAAATTATTTTCAAGTAACAACTAGCATCTATTCTACATGGCAATAAAATTATCGTCACGATATTTTTCAACCATATTTGATAGTACCCAAGTAAGAGTTATGAATAGATCTACTCTAAATATTTCGTTGTTATGAGAAGATTTATAATTACCGAATCCAAACATATCTGCAGCATTTATCTTTATTTGCAATATTAATGAACGCAGTTCCCGCACTATTGCCTTACCACTCGTATGCTCTCGTGACTCTATTAGCAAATATCGTATGTCTATCTTAAATGGTAATCAACAAGGGTATAAATAAAAATACTGGTAGGTAAGTATTTTATATAATCGAGCATTGATAAATATCTACAAAAGTTTCGTTTCAGTTTTATTACATATTAATATGTAATATCAATTATTAGAAAGAACTGGCTCCCGCGCTAAAACATATATATTGAATTTGACAGGGTATCATATCTATGCTGAAGTTTCGGCTCCGCGAAAGACAGGAGATCAGTTTATATTCGATAGCCCGAATTTTGTTACTACTTATCCAATCTGTTTTACATTTTGGTTTAATATATATGGTTACGGAGTAGGAGAATTACTGTTACTAGATAATCGCGTCAAGATTGCTTCATTGATTGAAAATTATGGCTTAGCTTGGGGCCAAGTCAAAACAACTCTTAAGACTGGACATCATCAAGTAAGTAATGCAGTAATAGATCAGTCATATTAAGCGAATCTAATACAGGAACCGTAATTACGTATTTCCTATTCAAAATCTATATTATTTTGATATAACAAATGCTATATTACAGTACTGTCTTACCAGCTAGAATTTTAGGGTTATCAAGCTTACAGTATTTTGACATTATTCTTATTAATTCATTTTGCACAACAGCTAAAGTTTATTGCATATCGAGGCTACGGCGTTCTTGGAGACATTGCAATCGATGATATTGCAACTTTACCAGGACCATCCAGTAAATACTAAATTTAGACTTGCTTATTACTAAATTTTAATTATGTACCAGATTATACAATAATTAGAATGCCAACTTATGCCATAAAATTTAAACTATTTAGAATTAATAGATATTAATTTTCTGTACATTTGGTAATGTTATCTATATAACATTACTGGTAAATAATGAGGTAGTCAAGTGAAATATACCAGTAGTAAATTTTTAATTTAAAATCTAAATATTAAATTTAATCATTTATATAGGTTCAATGACATGGACTGAGCCTATAATCGTATATGGTGATCAGTAATAAAAGTTACTTCACGTGATATTATTTAGCAAGCGGGAAAATCGTAAATGAATGTTACAAGATCCGTCCAAAATTACCTGTTGCTAGAAAACGCTCTTATGAATGATATTATATCCTAAAACACTTAAGCAGCATATAACAATTTATAATACAATGTGAGTAATATATATCATAAGTGAAAATGTGTACGATCTGTCAAATGTTTTTCATTTTGCTTTGATGAGACTACATGTGATTACTTGCGTGACATCAATTGTAAATTTCATGTAACTGTTGTAGCAAAATTGTAAGCTTTACTTATTGGCGGCTTGTATTTCAAGAAGATAAAATAATCTTCAATCTAAATTTTATATTTTTAAATAATCTCATCTTTCCCTATTTTATTAATTATGCTAAGGCAATACTTTATTCCGTGACTTAATTGTTTCTAAAATTATCATGATACTGCATTGTAGTTATTTCTAAAAATAGTGGGCTTAATTTCTAACTTCTAAATAAAAATTTTACGGATTAGTAAAGAAATCTTTAAGATAGATAACTAAGGATAGATTTCTAGCTTCATCAAATGCAAATGATATTTTTTGATTTCGTAGAACTTAGATTTAATTTTAACTTCTAATATGGGAGATATTCTTTTTCGAAAAGATTCTTCCTTATACCAACTAGCCTTTTATAGGGCAATTAGACAACATATTCATATAGTATTCTACCTTTAATCATCACATACTTTGGAAAATAATGTCATCATCTCATATTTTTATTTTGAATATATGAGTATGTATGTTCGTATCAGTTGTAGTAAATGTAAATACACCTATAGTACATGACGTATCAAGCTTAATTTAAAATTTTTGGGCAACTTTTCTAATTATGCCAACTGCACTTTCTGCTACTCAGTTCAAAAATATTGTAGAGAAACGAAAATTACTCCTTGATTCATAAAGTGAACGTAACCTGTAAGTATAAATAACCTAGCAAGTTTTGCTAAAAACAATTACAAACATTCTGCTAGGACAAAGTTTTCCCCTAGCCTTTTATTTATTATATCCTATAAGGAAAGTATTTCTATTTGCCAATTACAGCATTTGGATGGAATTTTCCCTCGGTCAAAGTCCAGTATCTTAATATAGCCTTAACTAATATTACGTCCCAAACATAAAGACCAATCATAGCGCATCTATGACTATTTATTTACCTATAGGCAATACAATTACCGATTAAGGTTTCTGAAGAAGTTATAATCCATATTTCTTTAAGATTATTAAGCTGCATCGCTAATATTGATTGCAACTTGGATTGCAAATAACACGTTACTACTAGGATAGTATGGAACGTGAGATATGAGATTTATGCTAATTCAGTTATTCAAGTGAGGCCAGTGATATTAGACATGGTTAAAATGAGCAATAGAGTTGAATAGGATATTGCTGTCGAGATATCATTTAAGTATAGGATCATTCATATGATCTACTATGTCGTCATTTGATCTTCTTCATCATCTCATTGATAAGGAGAGAGGTTTACTCTAGTTAATCCATGTTTTGAAAAATACACAAAATTATCAACAATAAAAATATATAGTAGGCCGGTGTATAGTAGCTATTGATTGATCATGTTATAATAAAGGATCTGATGCCATATTTCTAATTACCAAAACATTATCCATTGTAGAACCGATGATATATCCATTAGTATCTTTTACTGAAGCTGTTTTCATTACTATTACTTCCTTAATTTGAGTCTTTCCAGGGATATGCTTAACATTCTTATAATTAACATTATATTTTGACAACTATTTATAGCGGAAGAAGGAATTGCTACTCAAAAAATTTGTTTTAATTATGGTAGCAATTGTTATAAGATGTCCTTTAACATTCAAGTGAAAAATTGCATAACTTATTTTGTCTATCAGCAGGCTCCACTTACATGTAATTCACGATCAAGATATTGCGTTAATAAAATGAGTAAAAATGATTTCTATTTCTGAAAACTTTAAAATGCTGGCACTATAATTTATACCTGTACTGACTTAATGTAGCTCATTCAATAAACGCAAAGTACAGGAACTGCTGCTAAAATAAAGTAGGCATATTAAAAGATTAACTTTAATGGAATGAATATCTTTATATCATGACAGATAAATGTAGGTTTCTACAATGTGTTCGTGGTAACTGCACATCAAACGGCTCAGATAGCGTTCATTGTATTTGTGAGTCTGGTTATACAGGGATACTTTGCGATTCAGGTAGATTATGATTTTTATCCTTATTACATAGCAGTATCCTTGTCGTATAGAAATCTTTTTCTGCATATTGAAGCTATCTGCTTTTCTTATCTAACGCATTTTTATTATTATTTCTTATCCATTAATGCAGTCCTCATAATGTTATTTTAATTTCAATTGCAGCTCAGGGTATTATCATTGGCGTATTAATAGCGATAAGTGTATTTACGTATTTTAAATTATCCATTTGTAGATATTAATACATGTCTATCCAATCCTTGTCGTGCTGGTAACTGTATCAATCATGACGGAAATTTTACTTGCCAATATCCGAAAGGCTTAAGTGGTGCATGCTGTAATACATGTAATTTTTGGAAAGATATCTAAGCAGTGTAACTAGCTTTCGTATATTTGACATATTAGAATCAAATTTTCGAATGCCATGCAGTATAATACTGTACTAAAGGCATGGGCAATAGAGGACGACGTAGTTATATTTTAAGTACGTTAACACCTATGATCGAGCAATCTATATTTATATCTCGTTAGTCATTACAGAGTCTCATGTATTTCATACGGATTCATCTCTTGAAGGAAGAAATACACGCAATTTATATTACTGCGTACAAAATTAGCTCATTGTAGTACTTGGGTTTTCAACTCCTTAGATTCGCAATCGTCTAACTCAAAATCTGAGTTATTAAAATTGAGTAAATCTCTAATGTGACACAAGACCATAATCACAGTAGACTATTCTACTTCTTAATGCTACCGTACTTCAATTACTAATGTAATTAGCTGAAACTACTACACTCATTAAGAATAAAATTCTTACGTCACTGAAAATAGCAGTACTGTATCTTATTTCGATACTCTTATATGCATATTTCGAACCTAGCCATGGACTACTAGGAGAAGGTCTACTTCTAATAGTCCATGATCTAGGATACTTTCGTTACCTAAATTAACCCATTGAGGATGAAATTTTTATGTCACTAAAATAGCATCAATGCATCTTATTTCGATGATCGTACATGTGTATTAATATCTAAGACGTTTTTTTGCGCAGTTTAAGTTTAAGTACCATTTACGATCGAGTAATATGATAAATTCTCATGCACCATTACTCAGTTACACGAGTAGTATAGTATAGTATCCATGTTGATGACTGCTTTTCCCCTTACATTATCAAAATAATTTTACTATAAACTGTATCTTGTTGGGACATTCTTGAACGCGTATTTAAATCGAATTTGCTTATACTCTAATTAATCCTAAACTAGATTATAATTATACCGTAAGGATTTTTTAATTATATATAATAACTGAGATCGGGTTTTAGCCGTAAAATATATATATAGATCAAAAATCAAGATCCTGCGTTTTCTGATATCCCAGTACTATTATACATTCGCATTAACGCTAAATCTTGATTGTAGATATCGACGAATGTATTCACAATAATGCCGGTCGTTCCACACTTTGTAGCAATCCCTATGGAAGCTATCGTTGCTCTTGTATACTTGGCAATGTTTTAGATGCTGACAATCATACTTGTACCGGTATGATAATTGATTTTTATTCGATATCGTTACAGACGAGTTATAATAACGTTAATTTCTCTATGATAGACATTGTATACTCGGCATCTTATACTAATCGTTAATGATTACTGCTTATGTTCATGGAGTGCAAGACCATTGTGGTATATGATTATCGAATAACTAAAAATAGTTCATTGACTTGATACTGTAGATCCTTGCAAAAATCTCTAACTAAGCTGAATAATACATTGCAAAATAACCTAAATCTTTTCCAATTTTATGGCAAAACCATGCAATGCCGCTTAACTCTCAGTCACAATACGGTTAACAGAAAATAGTCTAGATCCACATTATGATCGTCAATGTACAGAATTAGCAGCCAGAATCGATACCATTATAGGTAAAAGGAATTTCATTATAAAATATCCTGTAAGTATATTTTAATCATGCATAATGATAGCCATTGCGATGTATTCTATAGTGTATTTAGGTTCGTTAATAATGCCAACGTATGCTTTCGATTTGGTCCTTACAACTGCTCTACCGTAGTATCAGTTCAAATCAAATTTTGTACAGAAACTATCATACTCTATTACCTTGATGAATTATCAGCATGCTACTTAGACTATTGTAGCCATATTGCTGGTAGGAAATGACTAAGTAGACTATTATTTTATGGATAGGCTGCAATAACTATAGAACCTATCTAGATATATACAGTATTTTCTCTCCTGTTTTTGTGTTTAGCTGTTGCCAAGAATTATTATCCGATTCGCCTTGTCACCGGCAATCGTACATTAGGTATAGTATTAGTTCAACATAAGGGAGAATGAGGAACTCTTTGCGACGACGGATTTGACATGAAAGGTGCCATTGTGGTTTGCAGGCAATCAGGATTTGCTAGAGGACTATCTTTCCATACTTCTCCTACTCCTGGTACTGGACCGATATGGTTCGATAATAATCGATGTTCCGGAAACGAAGCATACATAAGTGCGTGTAAACATGCTTCTTGTGGTATTCATGATTGTAGTTATAGCGAAGACGTCGCTAATTTGTCAATGATAGTGATATTTTAAATTATCTGTCTTGAATGATAATTTTGCATATTAATATCAATACTAGCTTAGATGATATTATGTTTGGCACTATAGGATATTCACAATACCCGTACGTGCTTTCCATCAAATTTGAATAACCCTTGTCTCCTATTCAACGGTATGGCTAACTTGAAAATTGTAAAAATTATACAGTACATTCGTTTGTATATCATTTACTCTATCTAACTGCTTGGAAAAGTTTCATGATTCAATAGCACTAACGCTTATCTTAACGCTCGGCTGATTTTGTTTTTAGAGAAGTGAAATATCTGTGTAGCTACAATATAAGGAATTAAAATTAAATCAATAACAATAAAATCAGCTTTGAATTAAAAATGTGGTATAATTGCGGTCATTTTTTTTTCTCTTTTTGTCTCTTTCTTCATCTATCTATCTGTCGTAGTATTAATAGAGTGACTTCGTAAGGGTCAGTCTTAGATGAGCACGTATTTGAACCTCATATGATTATAGAACCTTCTAGAATACTCAGTCTATGTATATTATAATAACTACTAATAAGTTCTAGAATATTCCATGATAGATTATATGTATGAGCGTTGCTGTCATACTTTATTAGTTCGCACTTATAAGTCTTAATAAAGTTCTGTTCTTTGCTAATACGTTGTCTCTACATTTGCTCGAGAACTTATTACACTATCTATGCGTATTTATTTACCTATTGATATATCTATATATCTATTTATCTGTAGGATGTATGTATCTATCTATTCTTCCATCTATCTACTCATATCTACCGGTATCTAGCTGTCTCTCTGTCGTTCGCTAGTGTTCGTAAAGCTTACCTACGGCGAAAACAACGTTGCAGTAAATCGTCTTCTACCTTACTGCTACTTGACACTAGTACTTGCATTGGCTAATCGAGATAGCTTGCGCAAATCCAAGCTGTCAATTCCTCTAGCTTCAATATTATCGACAGTATTCATCTGTCCAACCAATTAATCTTGTCAGCAGTATGCATGACTGGAAGATGCTTACTGTAGAAATACTGTACACCCTATCCTATGGCATCACTTCTTGATGCTGGCGTTTACGCGTACAGCATATTGAATGACTTGCAAAGATTGTTCTTTCCCTTCATCATCTTATTAAGTTAACGATAGTTCTATCAATAACATTGCTATGGCTACGGTAGTAGTGTGGCTTGCGGATACTTCCGGATAGCACATGCATGCAATCATTATTTTGTTCATTAAGCAAATGAATTAATGTCTGAGTTTTCCAGTGTTGATTACAGTTGCATTGTATCCTGTACTCTGCGTACAATGATTGAGTCAACGATTGTACAATGTGTACATACTGTCGAAATCCAGTATCTGTATGGGAAGTCGAGGACTATTGAGGACTAGTGGTGATTACTTTAACACCTTAGTACAGAACGGTACTTCTCCAGTGCAGTACTGTAAGTCACGTGATCACTTTACACTATACACTGTACACTGTACCGTATGGTACTGTACTGTACAGTGTACTGTACAGTACAGTACAGTACTAGAAAGCGTATTGAAAGTTCTTACTACAGTACAGTACTGTACCTGTAATGCTCTGCATTGGGCTGGTCTTGTACAATGTACAGTACTGTACATCGTACTGCATCATAGTTATCAATGAAGCCCTTTTTGGCTTTATGGAAGCGTCAGAAAGTGAACTACTGTTCGTCTTCCATCATACTTTGTTCCATAGAGCGAATTCGGTGCTTAATCATCAAATGCACCCATTAAGAAAGAATCGACTGACATCGTAACAGCATACAATTTATCCAGTTCTGGGCTTTGACTGTACCGCAATAGGGATGTTAAACGGCTACTGTCAACATTCCGCAACTTCTCCAACCCGATGTGTGTACAGTACTGTACTGTGAACAAAAAAACAATGTGGAGGCCAGCCTCTAGGCAGGATCTCTATAATAATAAGACTCATGCTTACCACTTCACTACAGCAGTCGAACAACAAACAGTTCAACCGGCTGAGTTTACCTTGTCACACACACAGCGCCTGACACAGGTGTTGCACGTTCTTACAGTAGTGACACATTGATTTGAGACAGTGCAAACTGTCACTTCAACTTCTCATATTGTACTGTAGTACCGTACTGTAGAGAGTGAAGAAAAACTCCAGGGTCTCACTCTCCCTTGGATACCGTACTGTAACGTACAGTACAGCCCTGTACCACGCCTAGCATCGTACTGTACTGTACTGTACTGGCGTACTCAGGGAAACTGCTTTGAAAGTTCAATAGCTCTCTACTTCCCTTCGAAGAGAAGAAAATCGATCCTTGTCTTTAAAGAATTAGTCTTAATCTGTTCTTTAATTCCAATAATTCAACAATTAGCTATCCAATAACTGCTATTCCATTGGTGTATAGGATAGTCTAGCTTATTCATTCGTTGTATCGAGAGAATAGTACAAAGCAAAAAATATTTCACTGGACGACTTGCCGATTCTCTCCAGTCATCGACAGTAGTCTTTAAGGTGGACTGACTGAATGAGGAAGGAAGGAAAATGGAAGATCAAAATATTCCAAAAAATGACGACCAATTAGCGTGGAAATCAGCGGCCAATTGGCTAGCTGAAGCGAATATTATACCTCACGATAACAAAGTCTTTAGTCCTGATGCACAAGTTTTCGATCTGGTTCAAGTTTTACGTGATGGTATTCTCCTTTGCTATCTAGCAAGGAGACTTAATTCTCAATCAATACCAGATCATAGAACCATTAGCACTCAGAAATCGCAGGTAAGACTCAATAATTTCACTTTTCCTCTTTTCCACGCTAATAGCTGCCTTCACAGTGTCCCATCATACAAAATTAATAGGCTGTTGATGATAGGTATCTTTTTGTTTGCTGGTTTAACACGGTACTAAACTGGCTCGCTAGTTTCCTATTTCTTCTTGTCCAGAGTGTATTATTGATCATCAATATCAACTTGTACTGCTTAGGCGTATACTGTACGTGTATAGCCTGGAGATGATCATGTTAGGTATTTTTCTTTCAATTAATCAATGACTGCTAATAGTAAATTGGATAAGCTGAAATCTCTACCACACTGTCTATCTGAAGCAAATACTTTTATCATCAACTCATCGTATCAATGACGAATTTATCTATGCAATAAATCAAAGTGACCGCATCTTTCTGAATTTACCCTCCTTCTAATACTTGTAATTACAGTACAATAGAAATGGTCAAGATTGACCATTGACCCATTACATTTTAATGTCTAAAGTACGCTTACATGCCGCCAGAAATTCTATCGATTGCGCTACATGATTAAAGTTTTGTTGGATTGTACTGCAATAGTGAATCGATTTAGAATTCATATTTTAAAGTAAGCAAGGCGTTCCAGGTTGAAATGACAATTGAATGAATTTGCATTGATCCATTGGGAAATAGGACAGATATAAAAAAATCAAATTTATCATTCGTCAATCCAGCAATTGAATTGAATTCAGTATTTGATCCGCAAAACACTTTTCTTCCCCCATGACGTAGGTTTGATACTTATACCGCCTCTAAGTTAACAGTTGCATTTGTATTCGCTACTCTAGCTATAAATTCTAGAAATTAAAGTTGATATCTACCTGTCTAAGCATCCCTACACATTGTTTGACTTATGACTAGATAGCCTGGTACATTACAGAATTGACTAAGAGATATGCCTGAAGGTTGATATACTTCAATTCCTAGTTATGACTTTTGTAAAGTGGAAACAGAAAATTTTAACGACTATACAACAAATTGTTCAATCAGCAGTCTTTGCCTGATAGTCATGTGAAGGAAATTGTAGGGATAATCTAATCCTAAGCAGTGATATTAATCTAGCATGAATTGTAAATGAATTCCTGATAGACTAAAAAATTCACCCATTTTAGCATTGATATCAATCAGCATGTCTCTTTCTTTGAGTTTAGTTTCGATGTAAAACGAATATAAAGCATTTCCTGAAAGCTTGCAACGAAACTTTCAATCTTCATAGCAAAGATCTCTTTACGCCTGATGAACTCTTACATATAACGAATTTTTCTAAGGTAAGTCAATTTAATTGACGTACGCGTATATTCGCATGCGCCCCGCGTACGATATCAGTTTGTACGCTTATAGCAATGTAATGTAATATTAATGGCCAATCTGTAGTATATACGGCTATGTCATTTTGTCATTTCCTTTGATTGAATAGGTTATTGTTGTTATGTAATTTGTTTCTGTTCACCTTTTTTTATCCCAATTTGAAGCATTTGAGCTAGTGATAGATTGAAATACAAGGCAATGCAGTACGATATTAAAAAAGATTGAATTTATGTGCCAAGTAATTTCTTTCCTTGAGGGGGTAACAATTTTCCTACTACAGTACATGCACATGTTATATGCCGTTTGGAAATACGGCAGAATAATTGCATGCACAACAACTCCACCTTTGTTACCTGATCTTGACTTATCAAGTCGAAATTAAGTAATCTCACATTAGCATGGCATCCAAACACTCATTAAATTAATACAATACTCTCAATTTCCTCAGCTTAACAACGTTTACTCTACATTATTGTGAGATCTTTGTAAGTTAACAAATAGAATGCTGACGACAGAGACTACCAATTATTTGGTATCATATACCTTAATTATCTTTATTTAATTCGAGTGTTTCATGACCTCGTATGCAATTTTTTTTATTACTATTGTGAGATAGCCGATTTACATTCGTCCAGAATAGTCCAGTCCAGGACTACCACGGTAGATAATTATCATCGTAGCGTATTCTTGTATTTAAATATCAGCTTGAAATAATATGTTTGCTCAAGTTAATAAATTAATTATATTATGAGCCCAATCTTCTAGCCAACTACGAGTTTAGTCAATGATGAATTTACTCTTAAACATCCCGTACAGTATTTGGTATTTGATACTTTACATTTGTTGATTAACATCCTTTTTGCTGTACCTAGCTTTGAATTTGCGAGCACGCTAGCAAACATTATAATCTTTCTAAAACATACAAATCTACTCAACTTGATTCAACCCTATTATAAACACTTATTTGATAACCAGTATATACGTATAGTGTCGCCGATACCTAGTTTAAAGTACGTATATTCGTGCATTGCAGTTATTAAAAAATTGATCTTGAACAACTGACCTACCTGCTAATTAAGAAATGTTATTGTTACAATTAATATCAAACTAATCGCTCTACCGTATTGTTGCAAGATGGCTTACGGCGACACCACGCAATACTATATAGTGTACAGTACCGTACTGTAATTTTAATTGTTTATTCGTTGTTTATTTTATAGACGAAAAAGTTGTTGTTATTTTCTTTGTTATAGCCATCCATTTTAAATATTGAATTATCTCTATAATGACTAACATTTATACTTGCGGTTTTTACTACTTGAGAAATTGTTGAAACGTATGATATTAATCACAATAATTGAGGCTATAAATTCGCTCTAATATTCCATGTAAACAGAATAATAGCATTTCCTAAACTTCCTAACATGTCATCTTCTAAGATATTATTATCGTACATATATTTGTGACACGTATTTGTATCCAAAGTATTATTGTCCAATGCAAAATTATTTGAAATGTAATTGAATGAAAAAATTCATAACGACCTTCGTAAAACAAAAACAATTGTTTTTAAGCTAAACTTTGAAACCCCTACTGTCACCATCTTGATGCATTTGCATTCTTTCTGGCTTAGGTAATGCATACATTGTCTGTTTTGTCAAGAACTAAAGCTGCCGAGAAGCTTAACCTAAAGTGAGTCCATTAGATCATATAATATTACAATAACTGCGATTTAATATGATTTGATATTGAAATGCCAACTCCATGATAACCTTTGTATCAGAGTGGCTAAATGTGAATTGCGTGTAACGTAGTGCTACATAGTACAAATGATAGGGAGTGAAAAGAATCAATCAGTTCGTAGTGGTACCGAAAAGATCTCAAACTTGTTGTAGTACTGCCCAAAGAGTTAAATATTGATTCGTAAAACTTCAGCAGTTTCGACCTCACTCGACGTTACTAACGAAGAATAATTATTCCTGTGTCATTCTATAGTTTAAAGATTGCGATATAGTAAATACGATAGCTAAGGTACTTTTTTGACATCATGTTTAATCTATCCTCTTCCATTAGAAACTGCGGCTTGATTTCTAACCAAAAAATGCAGAAATTGAAGTTGTATCATATTTATAGTAGTTGACCATTAATGAAATGCATGTACAATGTTATGCTACGCTATGATAAGATTTCGCATAGATTAATTAAAGTAAACTGCACTAATCGCTCTGAAAGTATTTTTGTGTGACCAGGTTGATTGCAGTAAGGTTGATTTACTAGTAGTCGAAGCCAGAATCTAATTGGATGAATCACATTAGCACTTTCTAATCCTATCATTAAATTACACATTGAAATAAATAGGGTTACGTCTTGACCTGCAACAGATCACTCGGCAAATACTGTTCAGTATTCTACCTTTGCCAGTTCGATCAGTCATTGCTTATAAGTAATTTCCGTTGTAATTGAATATTTAGTTTCCTACAAACATGCCTTCCTTACAAGTGATTACGTAACAGCGTGTAGTATTTCGCTCGACCCATAGTAGTACGTCCTGACTGAATTGATGTAAGCGTTGCAGTATTTAGTGATCGCCACAGATATGTAAAATCAATTTCACTTAACTAAATATTACTCTTTAACCCATTTCCATACTATATAATTGCATTAGATTTTCTTGTTTATAAATTTTCGTACAGTATTAGCTATTTATTTTGTGTTATTTTCGATATGTGAACAAAAATTAGACCGTTTTATGATAACCCTGAAGTTGAAAAAGAAGAAGACATTTACGGAAATTTAGAAGACTTAGCAGAGTAAGTAAATTTATTAATTACAATTTATTTTTAGTATTTATGTTCACCTATTTTACGGCAATACAGTTATCGTGAAGATTATATTACAGTAAGAAATTGACTATACAGTACTTATAACTTAGTGTGTGTACATACTGTACTGTATAGTTATAGACTACTTGATGAAAGTTTTTAAACCTAGTATAACACAGAATATCCTACAAATATGAGATACTTCACCTCTGTTTGCTATAACTATATGATGAAAATCAGAGGAGATTTATATTTTGATAAATATGCTTGTCAAATTTGTACATATAATTGGTTTTAGTTATATTATGCTATTTGATTTAACAAACTTTTTAAATCTGAAATAGTATTATATGCTAACTTTTGATATTAAAATTATATAGCTCACCTTATTCCATTACCTTACAAACGCTCATTGTCATTTACGAACTATAATAATAATAAATGAATTTTTTCTCAGTAATGACTTTCAATGATATTTAATTATTAAAAACGATTTTAAATGTATTATACTTATAAAACATTTACTATTGTTAAAATTGTACAGCACAAACGATATCATCGATCAAGAACCCGTTTATGATGTCGTGTATGATGATGTCAACGATAAGATTTACGATACGTTCTTCCCGAAAAGAGACGAGGTATATTTGATATATCTTTAATCATAGTCTTCATGAATCGATTCCACTTATATTTATGAATTATATTACTCATTATCCATTGATACCAACTTCCTTTCTTTCGTAATAATTTTCCTTATGTTTACAGTGAAAAATTTAGTAAATATCATACTACTTATTTAGCACTGATTTAAATAAAGCCATTTTGAGATCTTCTTAGTTATGTTGATCATGCTGTATATAGGAAACACCGAAGAAAGAGAAAAGAATGTACGTTTTTGAAGAGCTATGCAATACAGAAGCCCATTACGTTGGGTACTTACGAGCTATACTGGTAAAATATGCTCTTCATACTTTTATTGGACTTTCAGATCTTCTTCAACCCCGTGCTCATATGAAAGTAATGATTCTGTTTTCAATAAAGAATATTTGCGCGTATTTTTTTCAGAAATTTATGGATGCCGTACAAAGTATAATTTCTCATCAAGAATCATGTATTTTATTTATTAACACTAAGGTAATAATCCAACTTTTGCATTGTCTTTGAAGTTAAGATCTTGTATATCATACATATCGCTAATGCTCTAATTAATGTAGGACTTACTGGCAGCCCATATGAAATTCTTAGATCGTTTATTAGCTGCTCAGCGAAATAATGGGGTGGAAATCAGTGCCTGCTTTCAATCGATCGTAAGTTTTTATCTACTAATATCCTTAAAAGAAATAAGTATCCATCCACGACTCATAACTTCACCAACGTGCTATTACAGAGAAACGATTTATTTCAATACGGAGAGTATTGCTCTAATTATATGAATGCTGTAAATAAGGTTAGTAATAATGGATAACTTGCCTTTTTATTATTGATTTTGCAATATCATAACTAATCTCTTTTCTTTCGACTTTTTAGCTTGATGATATGACACAAAAGCGATATGATTTCCGATTTGTTTTAGACGTAATTTTCTATTGATCAATTTACTATTATACCTACTGTATGTTGTATTCTACCAATGCAATTAATATTCGATATCAATATTTGGTGTTGCTGCGATTTATAGTCTGTCGCAGATGGAATGAGTGATCAATTATCAAGTAAACGATGTACATTGAAAGAACTCTTAATCCTACCTATGCAAAGAGTTCTTCGATATCCACTCCTCGTATCGGTAATAGGACTTTAAATATATTAATTATTATAAATAGTGTTTTTTGGATTGATTTCCCAATAAAATCATGAAATCAAACGTAGATTGACATTTAAATCAAAATTATAGGAGTTAGTGAAATCTACGCCGTCATCTCATTCTGATTATGCAAATTTGCAGAATACATTAATGGTTTTGCAGGTAAATAAGTTCATGCTACTTTAATTGTAAACATCATAATGACATTAGAATTATGTTGAATGGTAATATTCCTTCTTCCAAATATTTACAGGATATAGCCCATTGTATCAATGAAATTAAAAGAGACAACGATGATTTATCTGTCCTTGATCAATTAAATTCCAGGTAAGACAAACTAAAATACTATAGTAACTATTCAACATTCGAAATTACTTACTTACCTTACCTGATTTGTCATTGAAATCATTTTCATTTTAGCATCGTAAGAAGCCAAGAGGTGTGTATGCTCTTACAACAAATCTCTATGTTTACTTCATAAATAAATTAATTTATTAATAACATCTATTAATTGAAATATAGGGAACTACTTTGCCTGACATTTTTGGAATAGGACGTCTAATTTCAGATGGTGACCTTAGCGTTAAAATCGTCGACGATAATAAGAAACCCCCAAAGTCGTATGTTAAGGAGATGCCTATTCTTATATATTAATGCTTAGAAATCATAAAGTCTTTGTCGGGTATTGTGCCTGTAACATACTCATGATAACTAATAATTGTCATTGTAGACGTTACTGCTTCCTGTTTGATTTAGCGCTACTTATTTGCAAGAAAATTGGCGTAAGTAACAGATAACGCATTTTAAAAGGAAGAGAAACCTTATTGTTGATTAATGGCATGGCGTATGTTTGTAGAATGATATGTATTCCTTAAAAGATGCATTATGGATAACGGAATGTAATGTCGAAGAACCTAAACCTCAAGGAAGAAGTAAAAAGGTAGAGGTTTAGTGTTATTATTGTTTAAAAACTCTACATTCAAAATTAAATTTAAGATCCAAAATTAATCAATATTATTCGTATATAGCACTTGGTCATGTGGCAAATGCATTCCACTAATGAAAAAAGAGGTATATATGGCCACCTCAGAATCATTTACTCTTACTCGTATTTTACTAAAATATACACTTCGTAGGTCAAGAACTATGGCTATTTCAGGCCAAAAATGAAAGTGATAAGAAAAAATGGATAAAACTCTTACAGAAGGCAAAGTATGTACATCCTTCAGCGTAAATAAACTGTATCTGTAATCCTGTAAATACGAGTATTATTATAAAAATCATGCCACTAAATAATTAATTATGTCTTTTAAATTACAGGAGTAAAGCTTCACCTGATGACGCCAAGAATGGTAAAAACTGTACTTAAATTATTTCAGTATATGTGTATAATTTTTTGGTTGTAAAAATTTATTCAATTTTCATGCAGGAGGACATCAGTTTGAATATTGCACTGTTCCAGTATCCTCTGTATGTGAATATTGCGGAAAGTTGTTATGGTAATGAACAGTTTAAGTATTATTGAACGTGTATTCAGTGCAATGAAAATCAGCTCACTATAGGATAATCTATGTTTCTTTTATAGCGGAAGAGTATACCAAGGCTATCGCTGTAAAAGTATGTCTTTTATAATCTTATGTAATCCAATCTCAGCTTAGTTTATCTTGCAAAGTAAATCTGCAAATCTGTTAATCCTTATCTTTAAATTCTTCCTGATCTGAAGCAATAACTGTTTAAATATTTTATGTAGATTGTGGTGTCTTGAGCCATAGGGAATGCTTGTCAAAGGCAGTAATATGTTCCTATACAGCCAAAAGTTAGCCTTCTAAGATTGAGCTATGAATTCATTTATATGTTATTCTGTATCCATTTTAAATAACTTGATCAAACTTATAACCACTAATAGCTCCCATTGGACGAAGGTATTCATCGTCGGATGACAACGTATGTCAGCTATGAATGTGATACTTAGTAAGCAGAAAGAGTACAAGCTAATAATAGTATGTCCGCAATCATAATATCAATTTATAGACTCTGGAGAGAAAAGCAGCAAACACCAGGTCTTCTATGGCTTTACCAGAATTACCATCTCAGGTTAAACCTGCTACCGCACGCATCCGAGAAATACAGGTAACTTCATCTTACCAAGATATAAAGTACTATCTTTCTCGAATTGAAATTAACAATTTCACTTTAAGTAATGGATGTTTCTCAAAAATTTTTTAGGCCCGTCCAATTCCAGAATTGTAAGTTTATGTGTATTTTTTTAATAGCGAAATTCAGTGGTAAAATTCATACAATTAATTAAAGATCTATTAATGAACCCGCTATTTCCTCAGGCCTGCAGAAGACAATTCTATAAACTCTTCTGAAAGTAAACGAATCCAGGTTTTAGAATCATATGATTGGTAATGATCTTATCGCAGATGATGCTTTCTTACGAAGCATTACATGATTACACTTTACAATGTGCTGCTGACGGAAACTTATTATTTATTATCAATTGTAACTAATGATAGGTTTGTTGGAAAGAAAGGACGCAACGACGTCAAATTTACTGGTATAAACCTAAACGGAATATTTGTTGTAAGAGAAAGTGAAAGACGTGTGGGAGAACTAACTCTTGATCTTCAGTAAATATTTTAATACTATATAACTAACGCTATTTGATATAAGTTTTAGAAATTCATAGAGATTATTTAAGACTTTTCCTGTAATTGTGCTTATTCAGATTTAAAGGTATCATAAAGCACATAAAAATAATGTACGAGAATGAAGAGTATTATCTGGTTGAAGTAAATCGGTTCAAAAGCTTACCTGTAAGATAGTAACAATGGTAATTTTATATTCTCGAATTTAGATAACGGTACCAAAATATTTGCTGTATATATACTCGTTTATAGGATTTGATCGAATACTACAAAAGTATATCGCTAAAGGAGAGTTTCCCGGAACTGAATACAAATTTAATAATGTCTTTTAAAGAAGCTCAAAATTTGAAAAACAATCGTAACATGCAAGGCAAATCAAGTAAATAGATCGAAATTTTTACTTCATGTTTCTGCCTATTAATTATGGTTATAATTTTATAATTTCTTTTGTATATAAATACGATATCAAAACAGTATCATAGGTATTATGCTTTTAAAGCTGCTTAGCAAGCCGTAACTTTGAAATAGCACTTAGCTTTCTATGAACATATTTTTTTAGAATTCGCTATCGCCCTATATAACTTTGATGCTGAAAATGAGCAAGAACTATCACTTAAGGTAAGATTATCGTCTGTCCCTTAAATTATATATTTTTACTTCAGATTTGTTGGTATCATTTTTAAATGGCAATAAATTTTATCACTGACAATATCTTAGATTAATGACAAGATTAAATTAACAACTACTACGTGTACAGAGATTGGTTGGTTACATGGTGCATGCAACGGAAAGGTAGTATTATCTAATGCAAAAATTATTATTATAAATTGATATACCGTTATTAGTAGATGTGCTCTCATACTTTACAGACTTTTATTGGCTCACTAGGCTATCTTAGCTAATCGAATTTAATTATCTTTTAATTTGTTATATTTTGTTCCTCAGACTGGTTTCTTTCCATCAAAGTACGTAGAAATTGAGTACTCTGATGATGAAAAATCTTCCTAACAAAAATTTGCATCAAATTTGTTTAAATTTTGAAAATCTTTCATGTAGTGGAATATTTATATCCATGATAAATTGTTAATTTCGGTAATTGGATTCACAATGATTGGAAAGTAAATATCTTGCGTTCAGGTCTTAATATCTGTAAATATGTTAATGCAAAACTAGTGGTTAAGGCAGGATGCCAATTTTTAATTGTATATTTTTTTAGAAGATTTATCATATATTGATGCCATAGTATACAGTATATACTACTGAAGTTCTTTCGGCATTATATCTTTAATTTATAACTGGTTATTTCATCCACAATATACAGAGATCAAAATATTGAGTTATAGTTGGTTGCATGAAGGTTTCTATTACTTCTATATTATAATAATATAGTATTTATTTTCAGCTACAAATTTCTTGAATTAGAGTAATAAGCTGCCAATTAATTTAAATGTTCTATTTTGGTTTGGCCTAGAAGAATGATTTTACAAGCTTACCATGAGTCATGACTTGAATTATGAATATAGAATTAAACGATGCATCAGAATTGAATATGATATAATTGCTATGAAAAAGATGGAACTTTTTTGTTAAGCTCTGCTAATATTACCGATATTAGCCAGGAAAATTAAACAAACTTTCTTGAAAATGTTCTCAAGACGTTGCATTAATCTTTGACATACATGCTTTCATGATTTTCAAAATACTACATACATGAATTACGGGCATAAACGCACGTTTATCGTTAAATATAGAAAAAGTAGCCATTTTCGTTATGATGTTGTAAATCGTATTCAGTTATATATTCTTTTATAAATGCTAGCAATCCTCTTCTTCCACTCTAAAATCCAAGAAACATCGTGATTCTTACGATTAGTACTCCTTATTTGATTTACAGTATTCAGTACTTTTCTTTAATCATTGAAACAAGGACTATTAATAGCGCATACAGCCTGATTAAGGCATAGTTAGAGAAAAGCACTGAATACTGTAAACTAAATAAATTTTAGCTATTCTATGATTGTTAATGATACAGTAAATGTATGCAAGTTTAACTTCCTTCGTAGTTACCTTAATCAACATTCTCTTTACATTTGTTGATAAATCCGATTCGGAGGGTGCAATAAAGTAAGAATTGATACCAACCGTGCGAACTAAATCATCTTCCTGGTTAAAAAGGATTAGAGAGAATTAAGTGCACAACATTTGCGTACATAGACGACTTGCACCATGATCTTCTAGTTTTATTGAAAATCGCAATATCAATGATTTCACCCTACTTTTAGAAATCGTTTTGTGCAGGATATTCGTATGGTATCCTGCATGGAGAAAAGTGGTTGATTACTTTGAGCTTAATGATTTATACACAAATTGCTAGTTGCTTGAATGCATCGGAATCATCGTCTATGCTATACTATGTATGAATTTCAGCAGTAGCAAAGGAATAACCAAATTTTAAATTGTTTTGAAAAGAAATGTCGATGACATAGAGAGATAATACTAAAAGCATCAGTTAGCTAAAAATCACTTTTTTCACTAATTTGAACGATTCTTAGTCATCATCAGCAAAATGATTCAATTGGAAGCGAAGTGTTCAAAACAATTCTTTACTAGTTCATCGAGACATTTAATTCTGTGGCAAATAATTTAAAACATAAATTAAACTACCATTTAGCACCCAAAAGTTGAATTGAATCAATGTGTTAATGTATTTTTTCAATTTGGCTTATGGCAATATTATTATACGATTTGAGCGACACAAGCTGATCTACAGTAGACGTATACTATTATTGTAATGTATCATAAGAGTAATCAGAAATGCTGCTATGAAAGCATATTATCATCCATAGGGTTAAGTACGTTTAGAAAATATTGATATACCGACGCTTTAAAAGCAACTATTATTTCGGATTAAGCTTCAAGCCATTTCCTAAAGGTTACAGCTACTCCATTAAAAAACGCCAGTATTTTAATTGAAACTTACAGTAATAGCATATTCGACTTGATCAGGATGAGAAATTTCTCTTCGTTGGTAACCCATCAGGAATGATTCTTTATAATAATCATTACGGTCCAATGTTGCTAATAATTCTCGAATAGTTATCTAGAATAAAGCGTAGATGAATCCGTGGAGAATTTAAATTAATTGTAATTATGAAAAATAAATTATCAGAAGATACCGTAGTCTACGAACTTTATAAACGTAATAAAAGTAATAATATATGGCTGAGCCTTGTCTTAAAAATGAATTTGTAACCATTTGAACCCCGAGAGATGCTAATACAATTCCCTACTTACAATCTCATCATATCGCTTTAATTGGTTGCAAATTCCCCTGATCATTAACATTGTTATATCAGTCTCTGTTGAATTTTCAGATTTCAATAAGCCTTCAGGACAATCACATAAGCTGTATAGAATTTCTAGTTCTTCATGATGTAGCTACAGATTACGGAATAAAAAATGAAATCTGAATTTAATTTGCCCTGGTTGATGTTCTATAGCACGTATAATGCTAAAAACTATAATGAGTATACAGGTACGTCTATCAGGCATCCGCAAGCACCTCATAAAAAAATTTGTTATACATGCTCAGAATAAGACGAACCTCTCTCAAGACCATTTCGACATCCTTAACTCTATATCCTCGAATATGCTGTATTTGCCTGTGTGATCTGATTAATTCCTAAATGCGACGTTAATTGTAAGACGTATTAAAAATAAAGCTTGTACACAGTTTTCCATTGCAAGACTGTTTGCTATATTTGCGTATATGTGTACATTATTGAAAGTGAATATAAGTAAAGATAATTGTAGCTCTATAAATCTAAAGATTTCCGCTAAGATAGCAAAATAGCACAATGATCTATATGATAGCAGTGAAGCAAAGATATAGTATTAGGCTAATATATTTTAGCAACTTATATGCTGTAAGCGTTTTATTAACGCTTCCAAGAATGCTATCTGCAATCAAAAAACCTATTCCTGAAATGATTAGCTATTGGCATGAATGTATGTATTAAGCCCAGCAATATTAATGCTAAAAGCTCGAATACTTAGTATAAATGACTTCAATGAAAGTGTACTACTCTGGCGGTCTTTACTCTGAATTTAATACCATTTTCAGTGTGCAATATCTTAACCTATGGAAAAAATAGTATTAAATTCGGAGTATAGATTGTCAGAGGGGTGCTTCGTTATTGATATCATTTATGCCAAATTTCAGAATTGTCAGCATTAATACAACTGGGCCTGATGTACATTACCTTGTGTAATTGATGTAATTTTGAGAGGAATTCACTATCCTTCTCAGAGTCGAAAGCTTTTGCTACCTGTTTGTCGATTGGTAAGTTAGACTTGAATGGAGTCGCGTACATAAACTATCATAATTTCTCATCACTTATAGCGTTAATATACGTACCCATCCACGAAATTTGATCAAATCATCTTGCATCATCTTGTATTAGCGTTTATAAATTGGCAAGCGAGAATAATTAACTTGATGGCATAAACTATTGAAATGGGAAAGAAATATGTAACTACCACATCTTCTTTAGAATAGTTGATCCTGTCTATCAGTGCTCTGTAACTCTGACATCCTAAAAGATCCAAATCTTCTCGGCTCATCTTCAGAGGAAGTATAATGGGAAAAAAATTGACCATTATGCCATAAGAATATAGTTAAGAGGGGTTAATAATATCAAAGTTAGCTAATAGTATCCCACGTCCTATCAAAATGTATACTAACTATTTCTATTAATTTGTTCTCGACACTATCCATATGAAAATATATTTCCTCAATAACTCGGACTTTAGAATCATCCAGTTTTTGTAAAGCCTTTAGTTGATCAAATAAGAATTATTTCAGGCGTCATTTATTTATTTTTTCCAAGAGATGGGATATTTTAACAGTATGATGCTAATCCACTCATGGTGTGAATTAAATTTTGAATACTAACTTGAATGAGATGACGAAAGGTTTGAATTGACTTTTGATATTCCAATCTCTTATTATATGCATCCATCCTATCATTAAAATATCATTATTATATATGTACGCATATAAAGCTAAGAAAGTGATGAGATCTAAATTATGATAATATCGTATAATTTAAAGACAGGATCTAGCTTGAAGTAAGCTAGATGCTATTGCATTTCACTGTATCTTTAAAATATGGAAAAAACCTATTTTAATTTCAGTTAAAAATAAATAAGTCATATTGTAGCTGGATTAAACCATCATTTCTTAGATTTCTAATAACTTAGTTATAATATAAAATATTTTTAAAGTAGTATCTTATTTTAAAATGGCGATGCATGATAATGATCGATTAGGTTTACTACAATTGAATTACCGTATCCGGTAGCTTATAAAAATAAAAATAAATTGTTCATATTCAAGCATCAGACGATAAAGGAAGATTAGGAAGTAGTACTCGATAGATATAATATCTAATAGCCTTTTCTTCTTGTTGTACCCACCTTTCATTAATAGCAGGCTGTCCTTTGGTTGAAACTGTGGGATAAGCATGTTGCAATTCTGATATAAGATTACTTTTAAAGGCGAAATTCTCCCGCTGCATTAATGATTGTTCGAATATTTCTGGTTCATCCTCTGAATACTAATAATAACGTAATTCTATTTTAATACTAGTTTGGGTGCAAGAAGCTTAATATTAATCAATGTAACCAGTTAAACATACTAGTAAAAACCCTAATGTTTTACTGTCTTGGCCAGGAATACAACGAAATTTTGTATCGTGAGTATTTATTAATTTTTCATATTTTGCTTTATATTCAAATGTACTCTTTGGCTTGTCCATACAAAGCCACCAGCCTGCAACATTAGATTCCGATGGATCAATTTGACGAATAATTTCAAATAAAAGAACATTCGTTTTTTTTCTTATACAGATTTAGAAGTTCACATCCTCTAATTTTACACTAAAATCCTTATTTATTGAATTAGTTTTCCACTGGCAATATTCAACGTTCTTTACTCCGAGATGGAAAACAAAAGTTTCTCGCTATCTCAGTATTGGTCTAGGATTAATATCGATCATTTCCATACCGCAGTGTAAACGTATCTGTATTACTGCATGGCATATGCCGCAATATAAACGTTATTTAGCCATTTTAGTCTCTTAAATAGACGTAAGTGGCTGTCAAGAGAATCGAATAAGAAGTCATCTAATAGCTAAACTTGAAGTATCTAACACAAAATTCACCACCTACATTCACTTATACTCTACAGTCTCTCCAAGCCATTTAATTAAATATTTAGAATATTTCATTACTACTGTAGGATTACTGTATAATTTATCAGAAAGAAAATCAAGGAACATTCTTTATCGTACACTATAATTATCTTACCGTCAAATGCATGTAAAGGATAGTTACATGTTAAGCCACCTTTAATATAGATATCCTCCATACTATCACGTTTAGTACCTTGAGTTGGTGACGTTGAATGGTTGGATTTCTTACTTGGTTCAATTTGGTTAGGGATTATTAATTCGCCATTACAATACTTCAAGGCTATACGCGTATTATTGTATACACGGGTTTCAGGACAGTTTACTTTTACTAACGATAGGATATAGCATGTTGATAAAATAGTAGAAAGCAACTTATACCTTGCGATGTCATGGACAGTTCAACAGCAACATGAATTGGAACGTTTGGTGTAGTCTTAGGATGAAAATATTGGACATCTAATCGATTTAAATTGGTTACTACCACACATAATTGAACCTTAGTAGCACTATATAGCTGAAAAATAAAGAAATCAGTGAGTTAATTAAGCCATTTTAATAGCTATAAAATTTATTCATATTTAGCCAACCTATAAAAGCTATTTTACCTGTTTAAATGTTACTCCTCGACTACGGTCGTCCAATTTTCCCTGCAAAATAGGTCCATTTTGCAACTGATCTTTTAGGAAAATGGTTGCTTTTCGATGATTATTCCATCTGTTGGATCGTCGAATGATGGGCAAATCACGATATCCACTAGGTAGCTTCTTCTTTGTGCCTAATCAGTCATGATAATATTCATACTCTACTTTATCTGTCACTGGCAGAATGATAATTAGCTCATTAGCTAGATATTTTGTTAGCTTTCTATTTGCTTTACTTATTACGTTAAAAACTACGAAAAATAAGAGCTCGAAGTCGATTAACAGGCTAAAGCCTACGTTCAGTATAAGTGTTTTGACATTATTTTTTGACGCGTCTCAGTCTATCTACGGGTATACAGTTCCGTCGATTTAATTTAATACCATTCGTTACAAAGGCAGTTTCTTAGAAATAACCTTTCTTGCGATTGCTTTCTAAACAGCTAATACTTAAGAGAGATCTATTTCTGGATAATTAATAGTAATCTCCACATTATCGTACAGACTTAGCAGGTGTATTTTCCAAAGTGGATAAACCCATCTAGATATCGTAAAAATGGAATAAATAGCTTCCGCTTTACCAAGATCACTCCATAATTTTATATTCTTACAGTAAATCTAGACTTTCTCCTTCTAAAGTAAACCAATTTTCTTGATATCGCCAAGATACATTTTAATGGATAACTGCTAAAGTATTAAGGTCACTACCACAGTTTTAAATTGTTACGTAGAAATTCAGCCGACATACTATTTAGGGTTGATATATATGCATCTTAATATTGGTAGGTTATGACGGAAATTTCTAGATTGCCAAAATTACTCTATAATTTCAAGCTATCATTGTAAAATCTATAAAGTATTTTTTGTAAAGTGAGCAGATTTAAAATAGTGGAACTATAATGAAAATCACTAAGATACTTCATCTTTAAATCATTATAGCAGAACACACATGCTATCCTGTCTGAGTAAATAAATATATCTAAATATTATCAAGTTATCATAAATTACTCCTAGATTTTTAAGAGTATTCCGTAATATCTAAGTAATCATCGCGAAATCTATCGGATAGTTTTCCCAAAGTAAATGCATCATAATAAAGCCAAGATAGAATAAATGACTGCTAGATTAAGTACTATCAAGTCTACTGGACGTCGATGCCTGCGAATCGAACTTCATGGACTAAATTGAAGTAAATACAATTTACTGATGGCATAAATTACCCGAAATTAAGCTGTGTAAATGTCGATCATCTAAAATCTCCACAACGTTATCTAAATCATATCCAACGGCCAAGAGTGCTGCTAGCAAAGCACCGCTTCCAGTTCCGGCAAATCTTTTAACATTATAAGCTTCGTTTGTAACTTTCCATAGCAGACCAATTTCACTTAACGCCTATATATCCAATGGAAGGAGATAAAAATGAATATTTAATTTCCTTTTTGCATCCTATTTTTGACAGTGTAACCCTACATGAACCTGGTATGAATTATAAGATCAATAACAAAGTAAGGATTCGTTTCATAGTTAGCTTATTTCATCGATATAGCAATTGCTCGGATCATAGTTACCATGTCGCATGTTAAGATTGAAATTAGTTCTGGTAGGGTAGTTAATAAAATAAAGAGAAATGGAAAATCCTAAGTAAATCTCTTTACGGTAATAACTCTACGTCGTATACGTGAAAGTATCAAAGGGAAAAGGAAACACCACAGCACTAAGGACGAGTATAAGGCTCAACTCCCACTGCCTCATTCCATCTATAAAAATTCTATTTCAGGTCGATGAATAGTATTGTGGAATGTAAAATTAGCATAACCTACGCGATGAAATTCCAGCTACGTTTCTATGTAATGTATCATAAGATTAGCTAACGAAAAAAGGTTCTACAGTATATAACGGTATAAATAATGCATGCTTATATCTATCGACTAGATAATGTTACTCTACCAAAGATCACAGACATGATAGAACGATTGAATATAAGAAATGAATTCTATTTATAGTTGACATTTTCGTTCTAGGCATTTGCAATAAATGGTGTACTTTATTTATCCAATTACATTATATTGGCAAGAAAGGATTGCTAGATATTCTTAATCATAAGATCAAGATTGGTTTCTTCACTGGTAGCTATTCCTTCCAAAGCATAAGATTTCATTACAGAAACTACAGCGTACAGCGTAGAATAACGGAATTTGATCAAATGATGCATCTAAATGCATAATAGAAATAAATACGATGACAGTGCAGTGCCATGCTACTCTTCACTAGAACGCCTTCGCATAGCAATCTTTATCATGATAACTAAATTTAGGCTATAAAATAAACGCAAAATGTCGGTAAAAGAAATAATCTATTTTCAGAAAGGTAAGCTAAGACTAGAGACTACAGAAATTACTGTATATAGCGTAGAGTGGATGGAAATGAAAAGAATGATGATCTCAAAACAGAATAAAAATGAAGTAATTACTATTTACTAGAATGTCTCAGTACAACAATCTCTATTATTATAACTACTCTTCAATCTAAAATAAACATAAAATTTCGGCATAAAAATAGTCCATTTCCAGAAAGGTAAGGAGCGAAGACTCGGTTATAGCTCCATTTCATGAAATGATGAAAAAAATTAGTGTCGGATCAGATTTATCAATTCTAATTTAGAAGATGATTTATTTAGAACTTTTCAAAATCCTCACAAAGATTAGAAAAGGCTGTGGTCAAATGCCTTGATTTACATGCTCTTTGATATTATTTTACCTCTAGCGCACCAATATAGGCAATAACTTGATTTCCTCCACCACTAAAAACCAGGCCTTCAAGTCCATATTCTTCTCTGCTACTCAATCGTGTTAAAGCTTGCCGTTTAATTATTTTCTCTTCTTCATCCCATTTCAAACGTAAGAGTTCACTATATTTATCAGCCATCCTTGAATTATTTAATAAATAGCGCACCCTTTCTTTCTTATTCACGTTTACTGCTCAAGATTAAAATAATAAAGTTAGATAGGCCAACGAATAGTATACATAGAATAAATATTGTTAAAAGCCAGCAATTTTTGCTAGGAAAAAGAGAAGGTCTTGCCTTGTTAAATGAAAATAGGCACGGCCACGGCTCGCAAGTACTTTACTAAGCTTGACAAGTTGATATACACTCATAAGCAAAAAGAGCATATCACATGCAGGAGCAAAAGCCAATTTTGGCAGTAATCGAAAAATGAACTTGCCGTTAACAGTAAGAACTTCTTATATTGGATACAGTTACTAGCCTAGTTCAAATTTTCTCATTCTACCTAAATCGATTAGTTAATTCGTTGGTTGATTACGATTAGGAAGCGATCAAATAAAAGAGCTGTAGGTGGTCTTGGTTAGAATAGAACATTGTTTTTAGTCGACACTGAGCATGGTATGAACACGATATGGTCTAATTCCAATCATAAATGTGTTATAATCAAATTGGCTATAATGGTTTATGTCGGAGAAGTTGAATTTTACTTGCTTATAATTGTAATAAAACCTATAATCATCTACAGTTATGATACTATCCACATCCACGTAGAAGAGACAAAATGATCGATTGACGGCCCAATAGAGGAATGCTTCTCTTTATTTTTGATACCTTTCCTATTGAAAACATTGAAGGAGACTATTAAGAATATTTATGAAATGAACAACAGGTGGTCTAACCAATATTAAGTCTACTCTACGTGGAAGATAAAGGTAAAAGGGACACGAGAGTCGTCGTTAATGATTATATTTGTTTTTCGATAACATCAGCTATCCAGTTTTGATCATGCTTGTACTAGTACCTGATAGAAGGACTTTTCTGTTAAGTTATCTAGCAAGGAAATTTCTCCTGATTAATTAATTGTGCCGAAGTTAGACTTTTATAGGCATTACAGTAGAAAAAAAAATCAATGTAATCCTATGATACCAAGTTCTAGATGTGAATATTGCAGCTGGTTAACTAATTAATTATGTTTGTTATGCATGGGTTTCCTCACTATGTCCTAATGAGATCTAGATATATTTCTACTATATTGTTTAGAAGAAAGTTTTCAAGTAGTTATCAAATTTGCATAGACAGAACTGTATAGATTTACAGCTACAGCGTCGCCGTAAGGGAAATATGAACTTGATTTTGCATGGTTGCAAAAAGGACATTAGCTATACATAAGTTTAGCTTCTATATGATTGTTATTAATTATGATAACGGAGGACCACTCATGTTTGCAATAGCTTATTAACGATCAAATTTCGATTGGTATCCTAATTATTCATAGATTGAACTCTATAACTATACCTCATCTGCAGTTACAATATCGGACAGTTTAATATAGTTTCAATGTGGCTGCAAAGAGTAAGTTAGCCATGAATAATGAAATTCTATGCATATGTAATTACGATAATAAGGCATGGAATAATCTATCCTTACAAGGATATTAAATGGAAATTTCGACGGGTTAGGTAATTAAGTATAAGTTGAACTCCTGTCTTTGTGAGTGCAATTACGGAGTTTAACGAGAAATTTCCTGCCGATAAACTAATTAATACATAAGATTGAGCTTTGCATATCTGTATAAGTATGATAACGTAAAGACCATTATATTTTCTACTAGATTACAAAGGAGAAATTTTTTCCGGAAGGTAATTGACTATAGTTTAAATTTTTGCATAGATTGAGCTTTCCATATGTTCATTAGTATGATAAAGTAAAGACCACTATACATATAAAAAAGAATATTTTCATTTCTGCAGGAAATTGCCTGTAGTTTAAATTCTTTTTGTATCTTTACGGATGTGATAAAGAAGGAGCCCTCCAGTTGTTATGTATCTATCACGTTATAACGAAGAAAAAATTTTCACTGGTTAATTAATTGAGCATAAATTGATTTTTTTGCCTCCGTATACTATCACACTAATAAAAGATAAGCTCGATTATAAATCTGAAAATTGAAAGAAATGGATTATTTTATTAAAAGAATGAATTAAATAAAAGGTACTATCCAACAACAAATGCACATCAGATGTGTAAAAAATTTTTACAAAGAATGTAATGCATCCATTCATGTATGGGTTATTGCAAGTAACTTAAATAATAATTTAGGGGTGCAGATAATTTATAAAATTAAACACTGCGCTATTCTCCGATCTTTTATGTTAAATAGAAACCATCTCATTCATTTCATGGATGAGACCACATTCTTTACCATGCGAAACAAGTAAAATTTCCTTTGCCTAATTCAAATAAGGTATTTAATCCTTTTAGGAAATAACTGATATAAGTAATGAATAATCAAATTGAACTACCTTTCCTAGAGACTTTACAGCTTCTCCAAATTTACCCAAATAACATTCTAACTTTCCTTGCTTCATAAGATGAACTCCAGTTACCGGATAATAGCGAGGATATAATCTGCAATAAGGTTCCTCTAGTCTTCTTGCATATTCTAGAGCTTCCTCATAACGTTGTGATTCTATGTAAGCATCCATTAAATTTTCAATGATGCGAATATATAACATATTACATTCTCCTAGGCGTTGCTTTCCTTCGATGAACAATTTCTTTAAATCTGTAGATGAATATTATAAGATTAAACGATGATCAATAGATAAATCTCTATCCACAATATGATACGTCATACGATTCTAATTGTGTGCGTGAACAACTTAAATGTCGATACCTTCTAATTTCGCTTGTTGATAACCTAGACTGATAGTCTTATTAATTTGAGCCTGAAAATTTTCGATTTCGGCAAAAAATGACTGATCGACGATAGATCCACATTCAGGGCATAATTTGTTAGCAAGTAGCGAATCTAAAGAACTAGCAGCTTTGCATATCTTCTTTGGGCAACGCACTGAATCCATTAAATTATTACAGGAATCCTAAAATAGAAGTCGATATAATCTATATTAATAGCTCATAAATTTGAAGCTGACGCAATAAAATCCATCCTGGTTAATCGTATTGATCATAACATAAAACTGACCTTGGTAGTATCTATACATCTCTCGCAAATACACTTAAAACAATATTGTGATTGAAGCTGATTTTGTCTGCTACTGAGAACTTGCATTGGATCAATATAACTAATAAGCAGCTGTCATGAAGTAATGGATACAAAGTCAGGAAATATTCAATGTTCGTTATCGGAATGTAACAATTTACCAATTATTTCTAACTCAGTAATTATATTCTTGACTTATGTAGTTACTTTCTATATACCTCATCTCCTATTTTAGTGTTTTCGATGATGCGTAGTTGCATTTGCTTTCCTCGAAAGGTGGCAGAACAGTTTGGAGAGCACGAATGATTTACTAGTGATAACCTATAGTAAAATGGTATAATAAGCTTTGAAAATTATAATTTTGGATGTCCCTTACTTTTTGCATACAATTCAAGCAATTTCAGTAGTCACAAAAGATTTAATCCTATTTAAGACCGAGTTGTCCACTTTTTGGATAAAAATATTTAGATAGCGAATAAAATACAGTATAGTTTAACCTACCCCGGATAAACTCCAATTCCAACAGTTTGCATCTCTGAGTTGCATATTGTAAAGGTATTGCAAGTTACCTATGGTATATGGAAATGGCCAATGAAATTACAACGTTATCACGAGGAATTTCTGACGTCAACATCACCTTACAAGCATTATTAAATAGTAAGAGCATTCGATATACAGAAAGAATTCCATTTTTAACCCTACCCTACTAATAATTTCAATAATTTCATTTTCGTTTATGGCAACTTTATTTGATAAGTACTCTTTTAATAAATTAATACCATCAACAATGGTATTTTTCCTGCTTCCTTCTAGTAGTTCTCTATCTACGAAAAGGAGTGAGTCATTTAGTAATTTAAATAACAAGGCAAAATTTATCCTAAATATGCATATTTATCTCTATAGAGTTATTAGTACGTAGAAAGATGTCCACATTTGCAAGTCGTACCATTCACGAGTTTTAATGTATGGAAACTTACTCTCATGTTAAATACAACAAAAGATTAAATTACCGTAGTTAAGGTTCCTGTTTCATACTTACTAGATAATAAAAATTTAAATTGGTCTGCTCGATCTTGTCCTTGTAAAATTGTATAAGCAACCCGACCTAACAATCGAATACTATCAGGTGGGACTTTAGGGCCAAGACGCGTAATTGATTTGCACTCATATTTATGCCATTGCCAATCTTCCTTCTGTAATCAGAGCAGCAAGTATACGTATGCATCACATCTATTACTTTTATTATTTTGCGTTTGCAATTATACATTAGAATAGCCTAGTTGCAAATATTCACAACACTGTAGTAGATTGGTACTGAGTAGAACTTCCATGATTTTATTATGACCTTTAGTATACGTGATTACTATTCGCATACTGCAAATCGACACCTTAAAAATTGAAGTGATGTATTACTGATAAATAGATACCTCTAAAACTTAATGGGGGCGTACCTGACAACTTTTACAGCAATACATGATGATTTTGCACCTGCTACATTTATATAATTCTGATTGCCTGTTCAGAAAATAGAATCACAATTAACATCTTTCCAATTAGAATGAAGAATACACACGTAATTTATAGCAATCTATCGTCCCATCCAAACAGCTTGTTTATGCATTTATTGCTACAAGATCAAGTCTTGATTGTTAACAGTCTCATACTCAAACCTGTCACTTACATTAAAAGACAAGAATGGCAATAACTCGATAGCATATCTTGGCTAACGACATGACAAAATGGGTTCTCCTTGCCTACTGAGGTTCCAATCGCTAATTGCTTCTTGCATCTTATCCCTCGTCCTTTCTCGTATGTTTCAAAAATTTCCACGTTATCACTCCAAGATTGGAAGTAAGCCATAACGATCAAGCTACTACGACAGGCCTATTGCAACATCAGTGTTATTCAAGCTAAGTAGCGGTGGTTTTAATGATTCGAAATTGATTTCTGCCTTGAAGGAATGCCAGAAAGAGATGCAGTTTACATGGGAGGTGTCCATCACCTTAGTAACCCTAGCCAACGTTAGCCTGTAGTATAGCTTTTCATACGGTAGTTGTAACGTTATAGTGTAGTATATAGTTTAGTAGTAATCTTGAGGTACTATATTGCACGACATGCACAACAGCAAGCTATACACTTAGACTATTGACTGAGCAGTTAATAGTATATACTGTTATCTTATGGACTATACGGTACAGTATACTGCCACGGCATCTCATGAGGGTAGTGGTATCACTGTCTGTACGTCTGTACCCTCAGACCAGCCTCGCTTTCTTCTCCAAGCTAGCTGCATCAATGGTGGGCCTAGTTTATTACAAGGCCTTTTCCTTCTCGTAATCAGTTGGGAAAACGAGTTATACCATGTTAAGATTATTAAGTATCAATAGTTTAAGTATCCCTTGTTATCGTATGGTAACAGGAGCAATTGCAACTCGATATAGGCCTTATAGTAACGATCTTGATTTGATCCAATTGCTACAAAATCAACAAGCTGCCGAAAAGGATGCTAGCCAGCAAAAGAACGATGAAGATCAATCCAATAACATATCTGATTTATTAGCATCCATGAAAGTTGATAGAACTACCAGTAGTTACGATATTACACCAGAATTTTTAGCTCAAACTGCTGCTTTAGCTAAATTAGAAAAGGAACTTCAGTCACCTGCGCCATCAGAAGAAAAACTTGTAGGACAAGAAGAGAAGCTTGTAGAGCAAGAAAAGAAGCTTGTAGAGCAAGAAAAGAAGCTTGTAGGGCAAGAGGAGAAGTTCTTAGGGCAAAAAGAAAAGCTAGTAGGAGAGGAGCAGGCAGGAAAACAAGAAGAAGTGAAGCAAAAAACAGAGCAAATTCAAAGCCAACCTGTACGCAATGTCATCAATCGTAAAGAGGAAATCTTAAAAGCATTTCAAGATGTCGCGAATTGGATACCAAATTACAATAATGAAATTCAAGATGTCTCCCAATATAATCATCTCCTGCAGTACGTTGTAATCAATTTCTGCCTGCTAAATAATGATCGCCTAGCCAAGAAATTCTCTTACTACTTGATTAATATAGACAATAAACAACATACTTAACTCTCCGCTAGTAGGAGTTCAACTGACCATTACAATATCAAAAATAGCTAATTTATTTTCTTTTTGCCATCATGCTTTATAGTGAAATATTCCATACCGATAAACTAACCTCGAAGGAGACCGGTAAGAACACATTAACATAATTACGACTTAAAGTGATTTGTATCACTATTAAAATCGTTCTGTCTATCAGATCAGCAATATTTACACTCAACTCCTATCGAAAACATTTCGTGATTGATTGTCCAACAGTTTACGTACACCTATCGATAACATGCAATTAGGATTAGCTGCTGCACTACTACCAATTAGTTATAGCAAATTACCACACGGGTACCTACCCATAGTACCTCGGTTTTGGTAGTTATGATGTAAATAAACTGGTACCAGTCTGGATTTGTGTGTATTGGAGGCTTAGTGACTCTAATCTTATTGTCGACAGTAAATTTTAACTAGTAATCGTTTCAGCACTTAACTTAACCTGACAAATGTCCTCATAACAAACCATTAACTGTATTTCAGACACGCCACCTAAAGTTAAGTCAGCTGGAAATGTGGCTAGTAATAAATCTACGATATCACTAGGAAGCGGCGACGGGCCCAGACTAAGTAAGTAATTGTGGCTATCTTTTCTGACTCGTGCATAATGCTGGTATTAATAACTAACCAGGTCTCTTTGTACTATGCGATTTCAATCAGAACGACACTACTAATTAGACTAATTTTTAGTACAGTTCTGTGCAGGAGTAGAGACTTTTAATATTGAATAGTGTAAATAGATAGATACGTTTATCTTTCTATCATTTAGCTGCAGAAGTAATGTCTTGTCACATATGTTCCAACTATACATATGAGCACAGTATCTTAGCTTATCTAAAACAGCATCCATTGGTGGGTGGCCATTATAATTACTATGCAATATCATATTTTCTACCAAGTTTTCGAAAAATTCCAGCTGTCGTAACTTGCTAACCACGTCGATTTGAAACTGATAAAAAATTATAGATGTTTTCTCCAACAACCCAACCAAAGTTAAACTTGCGGCAAAATATATATCTGCATTTAAGGTAGTTACAACAATTTAAAGTTCGTTTGCGGTTAGAATGCTTTAGATGTATTGATTATTATGAACTCTGTATTCCTAAATATTGCTCTTTTGACGAATTTTAGCATGCTAATAACAAATCCATTCGAGAATTGCGTAGCCAAATTAGACCCATCAATGGATATACTAAATTATTGGATAATAGTAACAAAGAGTGGAAGTTTCCGATCAATAACGAAGATGCCAAAAGGTAGTATATTCTCATCTTTTTTTAGCATTTTTACATTCTTTTGCTTGAATATATGATATCTTAAAGAAACCCTCTATCTCTATGAATATCAAAGTGACGAAAAGAACGTTTCCTTCGATCAACATACACACTTGCAACACCATCTTAATGACTTTCCCAACATTGGTAATGAAAACTAGATCAGTATAAAGAAAATTTTTTCTTTATAATATAAGCTCTATTTCATGCTATGAAGTTCATAGCAATACTATACTGATAAATTTCGTAATAACAAGTAATAACAAATCATGATGTCGCGTACAAGTCTTCTGATTTTATATATGTCAACATTTTGCAGGTTCCGTACGTCATTTTGCTAGCTTAATTATTACTGGCTTACAGCAAAACCCTCATTTATCTGTTGCAGAAAAAGTGAAGCATATTAATTGGTATAAAAAATTCTTCCTAAAAAAGCAAGATGAACTGCAATAAAATCACGGTATTTTATTTTCTGTATCTTGCAAGAGTAATACGTCACGGGTTTCGCTTAAAATTATACATAAAAGAAACCGAATGTACACATGACAAATATTAACTTGTAACGTTGTATGTGCAAACTACAACTGTAATCATAAACTGAAAACAGTAAACTAAATAAAAAATAAAAGAGAAATGAATGCAAATTCTTTAATTGACTTCCACAACACAAAATATCTTACATTAAGTACCCTCAATAAGGTAACTCGAATGTTCCGAGCTGAAATGAACACTTAACAACAAAATGAGAGAGATGACCAAATGCTCGTATTTATCTGGAGGTCAAACTATTCTTTATGAACTTTTAAGTCATACAAATATTCCTAGGAATCATCATTCATCAGTCCTTGCAGATAATTGATCAGCTCATCACAGTATCTACAAGACAAGAGAAATATGATATTAAGGACATGAAAATACTAGCTGGTACTTCAGCTATACAACAATGTGAAAATGATTGTATGAATATGCTCAATTACGTTCGAACACGGTGTTTATGATGAACTTGTTCGACTTGTTCTTTAAGTAGCGATGGATGTAGCTTGCCTCCACATTTAAGAATCTCCAATACTATTTCCTGTTCCATAGGGTATAGTTAGCTCTTGATGATTTATCATTTTACAATAATTAACCAGTAGCATAAACACAAAATAAAACCTGAATTTTGGGATAAGGATCATCAAGGTGTATCAACAATCCATTATAGATGGCTTTTAAGTGTGCGCTATACAAAGATTGATTGTACGGCGACGGAAATGAACTGCAAAATTCGAATTGTAAATGTAAAACATTGTACAGTAGAACATATTACATTTCTAAAATGACAATGTTACACTAACCTGAAATAAGTAATCCAAGTCTTACCAACAACAACTCGAATCTCGTTGTTGTTATCGTCTAATCGCTTAAGTAAATCCGGATACAGATTATGAAGAGCGTCCGCTACATAGAGAAAAAGAAATGATAAATGGATCTATTTGAAGCAATACATCAACCAATAATATAATTAATCAATAGCCACATATAGTACTGTATTATTTTATGTATTACCGTCTAACTTTGTTTCACAAATCTGTAGTAATTTGTGAAGGACTTTACATGAAATAAGGCGAGTTGATTGGTTGTCATCGTCAATACAAGATTTAACCTATCAAATAAAAATTAAGGCCAAAATAAATAGACTTTTGTTAACAATTTTAGTTACTATTACAACGCTAATTAACATTAGTTTTCCTTACTTTTGTTAAAATTTCATCTAAAAGATCAGATAGTTGCTCATAAGTAGCTAATCCACTTTGTAATAAAGCCCATAAACAGGACATAGCAGCAGTTCTCATAGCCGCAGCAGCTCTTTAATTAAGTTGACGATAAAGAAATTGTAAGAGTGGCGAGATGCATTCATTAGCATGCAATAAAATTTTCTGTGTAATATAGCTACCTTCCAGCTTTCCACACACAATTGCTGATAATCGCATCAGCAATGACTCCTTCAATATACATAATAAAAGTACCCTCCGAATTAAGTGTCATGTTTGCGTTAACCAAAAGATTGGAAAATAACGTAAAAAATCTAAAATAGAGAAATCAAAATTAGGCGCTGTTATTGGGACAACTGAAAAAATACTGTACTACAGTACTCAAAACATTATAGGAATCCATACTTGAGTCGGAGCTCCGGGTCCTTTTCAGGATTTAGATTGGATATTAATATCGGAATAGCTATATCTAACATTTGACCAACAACTGGCCCAGAACTTCTTAGCAAACATTCAAACACGTAGCGTTCAGGAGAGCTACTCACCCAAATGCCATGATCACCCTATATACAATATTTAAACAATTTAATTCTTTATAGTAATCTATCTACTAATTAAAACGCAGTTTTTGCGTTCAGAAAGTATTGTTCAACAGATAACAAAGCATAGTACCTTAAGCTCCGTTAATAAATCTCTCATGAACAATTTGTATAAATGTAACCGGTCATTCGTTTCATAACAACTTGCTAACTCCGACAAAGTCTCCTCAATCTGCAGTGCGTAATAATAAATGTGTAAAAATAGTCGATTTACATTAATTAATTAGAGACTATCGCTTCAATGTACCTGATTATGGAGACCTTCATTCGATTGTAGCGCCAAGATGTATATCAATATTTTAAATAGGTCTTTACAATACGGCTTACAATTAATGCCAGCATTCGTTATGATTGCTTTAACAATATGTAATAATTGGATTTGACAGGGCAATAGTTCTGTCATGCAAATATCACGGTGGCATAAGGTAGAACAAATAGTCTATTCCACAAAAGCGAAACATGTACAGTATGTCAGAATTGCAAATGGCGTACTTAAATAGTAAATAAAATGACCTGAAGATGAGAGGATAACTTTTCTGTATCACATTCTTTTAACATGGCTGCAAAAACTCTAAGACAGCTTCCTAATGAAGATGCCGTTGCAGTAGCTCCTCCACCGCCACTAGCACTTTTAATGGCGTTTAATACTAGTTTGACGAATATGTCAGGATGTACGTGTTTACCAACGACTGTTGCACAGCTCTCCGACTAAAAAATTATATAAAGAACAAAAAAATATTAAAAATACGACTAACAAATGAAATAGTTGAAAATAGAGCAGCGTTCATAGCATTAACCTGATCAGCAACTACTTTTTCATCATCTTGGCATGCCTTGTAAAGTCCGGGCAATAAACTTCCGATATGTTGAGTTACGTGATCTTCCGCATGGATCAATAAGACATGCAAAAGAGCGGTACTCTATTCATTATTATAAGGAAAGTTATACAAGGGCGAACAACGTAATTTATAGCTTATGATATAGCTTATACGTAAACATATCTCTAAACTAAAATACCTTTATACGTGATATAACAGTCCAATCAGCGGCATCACGTAGCAATGCTGGTAAAATTTTTGAGAAATTACGCTGTACCAGCACTCTGCATCCAAGGCGTGGTCTACTTGCACCTGTGGAATCAGATTTAAATCAACGTGAGATTTCTTAAAGGTAGAAAATTTTCGTAGTAATCATGATCTAATGATTGGTTACGTTCACTAACTGGATAGAGTAGGATTTTCGTAATCTAATTGATCTTTCAGTTCTTCCTCATTCTCTTTTTCGTATTGTTCTCCAACCTAGAGATGACCAGTGTATGTTCAAGGTAGCTTTATTACTCAAAAAATCAACTTAATTAAACCTGTCTTCTTTTACTGTAAGTAATCGTTACCTTATCGTAGAGCTTTTTCCCTAGTTCAACAATTTCTGGTAGTTCGTCTGTTTGACTTGTAAGAAGCAGAGGTAGGATCTTATGGAAGTAAGAATATCTAAAGCATGAAAAAATATATGTATCTATTAATATAAATCTAATCTATAATGACTTTAATTACGAATAGATCACCTATCCATTAAATTCATCATCCAATTGGCAAGAATTTCGGTTAATGTTGATCTAACAGAAGGTGAATGGTCGAGCATTCGCTGTGCCAGAGACGGTAAGATATCATTGAGAGGAGAAATGCTTCCTTTTTGCAAGGTAACGCCAATTGCCTGTTTAACAGTTATTTTAACGATTAATTAAACAATACGTTATTTTAACAAAGCGACCGAAATGTTTCATAGTATAGATACCTTAAGGCAAACAATGCGAACTTTAGAATGTTGATGAGCTAAAGATACTGTCAGTGGTTTAATTAAGCTTTCGGATTGCAATTGAAACTTTTCCGAAGGTATCAAGTTGGCATATGCAATAATACAATTACAGCTCTCCTACGAGATGAATTAGAGTAACCGGTAACATTTATCGTATAATAATATGGATATAAAGATTTGGATGGTATTTTCGGAAAGAAGAGTAAAGGTCATCATAGCTTATACTGTATGCTATCTAGAACTATAATGTGCAAAGTACTAGACTAGCAAAAGTTACCTTTTTAGCATCAGGGAATGGGTCAACAATGCAACGTTGAATTATTGCAACATAGTCATCCAGATAGACGGCTAAGTCATTACTAGAACACCAATTGCATAAATTCAACAAAAGTTTCATTAATTGAAGTCTAATTTCTTCTGACGGCTCAACAATTTCTGGCGTTGCAAGTCGAGATCGTACACATGGTATTAAATATGGTAAAATATCGCCATAATTTTTAACCTTGGATAGAAAGCTGAAATCATATTGAAACAAATGAGCGAAAACAAATGAGAAAAAATTTATAATGTATCTGCACTATTATTATACCTTGAGGTTAACTTAATGGACAGCTGACGACACTTTTCAACAGGATCGGAAAATCTTTTAAGCAATGGCTTAATAATAGCTTTAAATAAATCTTGTAATTCATCTTGGTTTAGCTGGTCTCTTCTACCAACAGTTTCACTAGATATTTTCTCGATAGCTCTCTTACGGGTAGAGCGGTCATCATCTTCTAAGCAGTTAATATCTCGTTGTAACTTCTACAAGTCATTAGACAAAATGATACGAGATGCTATGCTTAGAATAAGTCATTTATAGCCTATATAATCTTGCTTATATCACCTAGTCAACACTATAAATAGAAATTATCAATCTACATCATCGAAAAATGAAATGGATTTTTAATCTGCAAATGCTATTTTGAAGGGGTTTCCTTGGAAACGATTGAAATTGCTTCCAGGGTCTTACCGTCGTATCTACGCTTATTGCATATCATGTTAACTACTCGATCTTGGTGAATATCCATTCTCAATTTTAAAGCATATCATAATTTTACATATTACAGGTATCACTCCTATCAACTAGCGAATAATCATTGATAGCTATAAAGCGTTGTCTAACTAAAGTGGAGTGATGAGCGTTGCCTCCCTTTAGTCAATACTGTCATTAGACATGATGGAGCGCCGCTATTGATTGTATATTATATCGGATAACTCTTTCAAGATCCAAAGCGTTGCTCAAGAGACTATCCAATCAACTAATATGACTTCGAAATCTACTCAAATTGAGTCTAATATCAATTTTACACCGGAATAAAATCAACCAATTTGTTCCTACCTGTAGAATTTCGCTGGCAACAGCCATTTCTGCAGTTGAATGCTGCGTGAATGATATGCGCCTGCGCAGGATAGCTTGAGCCATCACACTGTGTTTCTATGACTCCCTCCGTCCCTCGTGATTCGATTGGACCATAGCGAGCTCATCCACAAGTTAGTATACTATCTTAAAACAGAGCTAATAAGTTAGTAAACATACTAGGATAATTAGTCTCTTACGGTATCGTATAGAGTACCAGTGCAGCTGTTGCTGCAGCGAAAAGCAGCTGGATGAGGCAAAGTTCATAACAGAAAATACTCGCTTCAATTTCTATACGGTAGTATAGTAAGTTTTGAGCTGTATTATACAATATATACACGACAGTATCAAATCTTTGCCAAACTACTACGTCCAATGTTTACAACCTTTGGCTTCGCTAACTCTCGGCTATTAGCATCTGCTTTTGCATTTTGTGATATTATGACTTAATTAAAAGCGATCAAAAGCCTCATCGAGTATTTCAATCTATCCAGAAGACGGCACCATACATTGGCCATCTTTACCTTATCAAATCTAGTCGCTAATGCATCGATATCATCGCCAGTAAATTGCATGTTGATGATTTGGAGCTATGGACAACGATAAAAAAACGTATAATTTGACCGTTGGCAAAAGGACATTCGTTATGGTGGAATTCCCTGGTATCTGATTAGTAATTTACTAATTGAATAATCTTTAGCAGCTATTAGTCTAATCGTTTTATTCTTAAAATTTATGATTATCTAGACATGTAGCTAATATCATGCAATGACTTGGAATAATAAGTATACAGTGCTTAACCATTTTATATTGACTAGTAGCAAAATTGACTTCTAAAAGTATTTGGGCGTAGCAATGTAACGATGAATTCTTGTAGCATCCTTAAATAGCCAACTAATCTATAAATCTTTAGCAATCAGTAGCCTAAATTTTTTAACCTAAAATCTACCACCTCAGCTAATACTGTACGGCGAGTTTCTGATAAATATTATTAGCTGGCTAATTCATAAATCTTGAAATAATAAGTAACCTGACCAATTAATTTTAAATGCTCATATCGACAGCTAAAGAATATCATCATCGGCTCTAGCTAATGCAATCCGATATATCCTACTTACTTTGAATTTAATACCTATAAAGTAACTTCTGATATGATAGTGACATACTCTACTTCAAAATTTAAAATAGTAGTTTTTCAATTGGATATTAATGTATCGCATAATTGCAATATGGATTAAATTAAGTCAATTCCTTGCTGTAATTGTTCCAGGTCTTGTTAAAAACCCCATCAAAGCAGTCCAATGTCTTGGAGGCCGCGATAAATTAGATCAGGCAAGAATTTCGACACATTAGCCAAATTATTTATGTGAACGATGAACGATCTTGATCGAACTAGCTAACAAATTCTGTGTACTTACCTGCTGTGAGACTTATTTATCATGGATTCCAATATTAGCTTAAAAAGTATATTTTGCCTTTATTAGACAATAGCTGATCCCAATATGAGATTAGCACTAAATTTTCGACCGGAAGATGAATTTTGCCATCCTACTTATGGTGATAGATCAGATTCAACGCGTACTTTATTATTACATGTAAAGCATAAAAAATCGGATGGAACAGTCAGGCTAAACATTTTAGGCAATATTAAAACAATTTATAGCTTTCAAGGTTAGATTGATTAAATGAATTATCTAATACCAAAATTTTATTCATGATACCTATGCATGTATTCGTAACATATTCGTTTAGTTAACGACGACAGCCGGTATAAAACTTGCTCGCTAACAGATTAGAAATACATTGCCATGTTTTTATTTCTTCCCATTTATCTAATTAGGCTGTGCAGACTATCAGTTTTTACCTTCAAAATCGACTAATTTATTTGGAAATAGAGGACAAACAAACATTACTAATGATCTATCATGGAATGGTAACTGCTAATCAAAGCAATATAATAGTATAAGTTACTAATCATATATGGTTACATTAATAATTTTATCAATGCATAACTAACAACTAATGATCGAGCGTTAATGTATTTCAGGTATCAAGACCAGCCAGTTCTTAAACGAAAAAATTCCTTTGTTTCTTCCTCCTGCAACGTTTGCACGGTTGGACAAAGCAATGGTATATAAGTAAGTTAAGTTAAATTTGAATTAATGCTAGCGTTGATAATTTGCCTTCGATGCTCAATTCCCAATTTACCGTTTAACATCGTATAGTTTTAATGAGGAGAGTACTACAAAACAGGGTGATGAGGATGAGGTAAATGTGAACATTACGCTACCCTTGCTAAATAAACTTTCCGTGATAAGAAGTTAATATTATTTAATTAAATCTAGACTGAAGAAGCTCAAAATGAAAATACAGGTTCAAAGATGAAGAAAGCAGCAAAATTGCCTTCGTCAAAAGCTGTCCTATTTACAGATAAAGATGATATCACTTTAAGCAAAACTACAGTTACGACAATCCAGACGATTTGCATCGTATTTTAGCTATAGAACTATACTAATGTACACTTCTTCTATATTTACTTTATTAACGACAATATTAAGTATGATACAGAATATCTACAGAAGGTTAGCTGTAAATATGGGTAGATTATTCATTAACCTTAACCGTTGATAAATGTACCAACTGAACCGGAGAAAGAGGCGATAGAATTTATAGAAAATAGCGAGGAATTACAGATACGGGACTATTTACAGGAGGTAAGGAATGGAACTATGAAAGCATATTTTGAGGAGCGATTATTTAAGATTAGCTTTCTTCTGACAGCTATTTAAGGATAGACCCATTTGGTCAAAAAATGCTCTCAGGGTTCATATTAAGAATGAATGGAAATTAAAAATGTAACATACGCTATCTGGTTACGAATATTTAAGGTTCAATAAAATATCTAGTAAACTATACCAGTCACTAACTGTCTTATTCTATCTGGAAGTGTCCTACCGGCAGTGGCGTACCATTTTAAATCTGGTCCATGGCGGTCGCTATGGGTGAAATTTGGTTATGATCCCCGACGAGATCCATCAAGTAAAGTGTACGTGATACTATTTCCTTCATACATCAGATATTCTAATTCAGCTATATCCTATCCCTATAAAACTCTATTATTTTGTATTAATATTACTGTTGTACAGTTTTGTAATAGCGAATTACTTTAAAAAGTTAACTGCACTATTTAAGAGTTAAAGCTTGAAAGTTATCGATGTACTCTTAATTAGGTATCAAGTTTTCGATTTTCGAATGAAGTCACTGGACGATCATAGTGATCTTGCTGGAGCATCGAAATACCATATTAACGCCCCTTGGTTAGCAAATCGCACGGCAACTTCATCTCGTGTTGCAAGTGAAAAGTAATAATTTTACGTAATACGTATGCAAACAGTTTTCTATACGTATCTGTTCATGATATGTAATACTGTCGGGAGCAGTCTCAATCTCATATAGCAATCTTATGGTATTGATATATTTTAGGAATCAGTTAAAAGAGGATGTCATTACTCCTTATGTATATCAGTCTGGTGTTATCCCACCACAACGGCACACTCTATATCAACTGATAGATATACATCATGAAGATATCCAGAAATTTATTTCGGCTAATGATGGAAATGAAACACATTGCTCTGTATGTGCATAACATATAAATGCGATTACTTTATAATGGGTAACCTAATGTAGTTTAATGGAAACGACTCACCTTGAATATGCTATTTCTAATGAACATTTTGAAATATTTGTTAACAGTTGGAAGATGGCTGGTGTGCACCTGGCACAATTGCTAAAATTAGAGATAAATTGAGCGCAGAAGTGTCACTGACACTAAAAGAGCTTGAAGAAAGCGCTAGTAAGGCATTCTTTTCTACTTTCATATCTACCTTGGAGTCTTACACAATTTCTGCATAGGCTCTGTCGGTTTCTCTTAATTCAATATAGCCTTCTTTGCAAGAACATGCATATATATCTATTGCTAATACCTTTCAAATTTAATTTACAATTTTCAGGTCTACTTGAATCTGATAAATCTAAAAGTAACACTACGGAATTATCAACTGTAAGTATATCATCTTTAGCGTTGTTAAGTTACGACTGCTTTGCTACTTTAAGGTCTATTAGTGATATATTATTTTTTTTAAATTGTCAACCTTTTTTAGTTTTCGACCTATACGGATTGTATCCTTTACGTTAAGCGATAACTCACACCAACGTTACTATATTTCGTTCTATTCTAAATCATTTCAGCATTACCCCTAACTGGTAATGTAACAATTTTGCAACTTTAATCTGGATTTAGAACATTGAGAATAGGATAAAAATTTGTTTGAATAGCGCTACAGTATTGTTACGATCTCTTTAGTAGTTAGATTGTATTGCATCTATATCAGACAAAAAATTAGTAAGTAAGTTAGCTATATACTGTTGTGTAAGCTTATTCTTTAACAGTAATATTAAATAAATTACTAGCCGGTAGCGAGGAAAGTATGGATATTGACTGAGTACAACCTGAAGACACAAGAAGATCCGATAGCCGAATGACTGAAATAATGGAAGAAAGAAACAAATTTTTCTTATAATCCATTTTGGTAGCATCATTTCAATTGATCAATATATCATTCCACTATGCGTTGTATATAGATGATGTACTTGTATTTATCCAAGCATGAATCAAGTAAATAAAACGATTTTCCAACTCAATACTCCTCAATATTAGACTATATCCATTCTGTGTTACTTCGTGGACAGCACCATTCATTAGTAATTTTAATTCGATCGAAACACCATCGATTTTGATGATTATTTTCTATCAAATACACATGGTATAGAACCGAAAATACTGAAATAATTCACGCTTTATTGTGTGTGTCAACAATATTCATGAAATCAAACTGATACTTGCAGATCTTTAGCTTTTAAGTGTCAATGGCATAGCGGAGATAAATAATGTTATGCTCGAAACAACATGACTTGAACTGCAATCCCCTTGAAATTATAGTAACATATTTATATTCAAATTAACTTATCATTCAACGGTACAGTTGGATTAGATATCTACTTTGCACTATAATCATGACTACAACATTGGAGAGAATAAATCTTATAGCAATAGTTTGCTGTCAGTAATAAACTGCGCGGCTATAAATCAGAACTTTGATATAATACTGTATTTAACTATGCAATTACCCGTCCATATTGCGCGATCCTTTTAGCTACTTTACTAAGATTTTTTCAATATAGTAGACATTCTTACTGCTAACATTAATCTATCAAATAGCATTTATTATCTGTCATTATCCTGTGATAGATGTGATCATTGGACAAGTATTTTAATAACAATTTATACTAGATACTGACTGGTCTTTACTGTAACAGTGTAGATTGTAGAGAATCCATTTTCAATTCATATTATTAAAGAAGAAATACAATTTACTTCTACCTTTACAAGATTTCCAAACGTTAATTATTCATCATACGTTACTTATTTATTCTTGCATGTTGTTGACTGTTCAGAATAATTTGTTTTAGTACCAAAGTAGAAACACGATATACTCCAATATCAGATTTCTAAGTGCTAAAACGTGTAACTGATCACATATTTCTTATTTACAGTTATTATTTTATTTTATTTTATATATTCGTATATCTACGTTGGGTAAATATCTTAGCTGTGATACTGGACTTTGGCGAATTCGATGTATCATGCACTAGTAAAGTACGAGATTCACAAGTACTAAGTAACAGTATTAAACCAAGTTATTTTACATCTATTTTTATCCTATATCGTCATTTCACAAATGTCCAAAGCCTCTATGGACTATGGCTTACTACCTATTCTTGACCATAGAACATTCATAAAGAGTTTCTAAATAAATAAAAAGACTTCTATTGCTAAAAGACTATCATAAAAAAAACAAATTATTTCTAACTGTTTTATTAAAATGTTTTGCTATTGGGTCACGCGTTGGCTGATGCAAAATAACATTTTAATTATTGATGACAGAAGGCTGTTCTCCAAGTTAATACTGCTTTGTCAATCAATATTCCAAAATTTATTAGACAGTGAATATTTTATTTAGACTGCCGATCCTTAGCATTAATTCATGGCCGTAAAAAAATTGGCATCACTAAGAATCCAATAATCCATTAACATTATTTACAAGCAACCATAACGTTCATCATCTTCATATTATATGCATTCATGATAGAAATTGAATTAGGATACCAGTCATGATAAGTATTAAATAAGTCATGACAAGGTAGTGAAGATGGCGTAGATGACAAATATAAACTGTAACAGCCATAGTTAAAGAGACGATTCTGTCGGTAAACAGGGCACGGTGGTTGTTCTACTATTGAGAAGGTACCGTTAACTTAGGGAATAAAATATATGTTTCAGATCGTGCGTAAGCTACAGCTTGAATTATACTCTCGGTGACAACATCGAATATATATTGTTCATCATAGCGCCATATTACGATAATTAGCAAGATAATAAAGGATAGCGTAAAGAATAATGCCTGTCTTTTACGAATATCTCTTATAATACGAGAAAGTGTTATAGCATGAGCGGCTTTATAAGCAGCATCTATTTTATGATCAAATTTCTCTTCCACCACATCCATTAAACGTTCACATTTCTCAACCTGCTCCTTCAAATCGTCTAATCGCGATTTTAAATTACACATCTGATCGATATAATCGCCGTCCGAAGTAACATCTTCTAAAATTTCTTTTTCTCGACTTGATAGACTGTCGTGCATCTCGAATATCGCTGACTTTGCCGTCTAGATCTTGAACGAGTTATAGCGTTGAACCTAGTAAAAATTCAAGTTAGCTTACAGTTAAAAAAGTCTTAGTGGATGATAATAATCTTCTGCTCATTTAGCCAAACTATTCTATAATGGCGTTGTTAAAAAAAATTGATGGAAAAGATATGGAAAGTATTAACTTTAATTTGATTTTTACCAAGCATAAATTAACAGTACACTTATGATTAGGGGGAAAAA